TACTGCAGATGCAGTGATGTAGCGATTTGAGTTGAGACAAATATAGCGAGGCGAATCGAGAAACATATTGTCAGACAATGAGTGATTATCATTAACCCGCGCCCCACTGGGGTCTGTGTATAACACGCCCTACTGGGGGGGGGGGGGGGGGGGGCTATTCATAGCCCCCCCTCCTAACTCCGAAACTACTGGGCCGATCGTCAAAATTCAAACGGCGTCTGATAGCCCCGGAAAAACTGTCGAGCGAAACCTAATTTCATTGACCTCGAGGTCACCGATGACGTCACAGGTCAGGTCAAAGTAAAAATTATTAGCACTTTGGCTTGTTCACATTTTGGGCTCTGGCCGCCGTCTTACAAGTCAGATCAGGCTCATTTTTGGTTTCCACACTCGTGAACAGATGCTCTAGATACCTTGAGGGTACCAAACTTGTACTTTGATTTTCAGGTCAGGGTCAGGTCATCACAGGTCACGAAAATATTATATCATGCGTCGGTCACGTGACACATGTTTTATGGTTCATTTAGGCCATAGATTTCGAATTTGATGTCGTCTGTGTCATTCGAGGTCATTTTGAGTCGAATTTAGCTTAGGTCAGGTCACTTTCAGGTCAAAAAAGGTCAAATTTTGAAGTTGAAATTTTTCAACAAAAAAGGTGTCTATTGGATGCAGTTTGAGCTCAGGAACACGATGGTGCCATTTATATTGGTGTACGACGTCAAATACGTACTGAAAAAGTGATTTGAAAAATTAATAATTGTGAATTTTTTGCAATAATGCGTATAACTTGGCCATTTTTGAAGATATTTAGCTAAAACTTGCTAGAGTTAGTCATAATCATGCGTTCTGTCACATATATTCCGGTTTTTTTCGAAAAGTGAGAAACTTTTTGAAAAAAATATAAAAATATAAATTTTGAATATTATTATATAAAATTTTCGAAATTTTCAAAATTTTGAAAATCCGAGATAGCAGTTTGATAGCGCGGTCAATTCTGAGTCCTTTCATGCAAAGAAATTGGATCTAGCTTAAAAACTGAGCTCTTGGGAGCGATTGCCGTGGTTCAATGTTTTGCGTCGAAATCGGACGAACATGACGTCACTCTGACGTCATTTCCGGCCGACCTATGGTAACTACGAAGTTCAAATTTTGACACAAGGTGTCAAATTGATGCAGCCGAAGGTGCTGAAAGTTTGGCGTCGATACGTCAAGCGGTTTGGAAGTTATTGCAGAAAAACGGGAGGGGGGGCTATAAATAGCCCCCCCCCCCGTGGGGCGCGGGTTAAAGGGACCCTCCCACCTTCAAAAAAGTTAATGAATTGGCATGAAAGTGATGTCGCTCGGTTCAGAAAGAGCAAAAACGAATATCTACCAAATTTCATTGAAAAATATTCACCGGTTTTCAAGATATTAGACTTTTACTTTTGTTTACTTTTTGGGATATCCGCTGTTCCTAGCGACTTTATTTGAAAGTGCGGCATTTGTTGCGCGCAAAGCAGCCTATACCACCGCGTGCTACAAAACGTTTTAGTCAAACATTTAACGGACGTTCGAAAGCCTGATGACGTCATCAGATTCCCGTAATGGTTAAGAGATAGGGACCACGCTGGTCCCACCCTGCAAGTAAAGGGAAGAAATTTCTTGAACACCATAAAGCTGCGGGGGTTGCGACCAGGATAAATGGTGGTTTCTGAGCCTGGCCGCAAACTTGGCTATCTCAACTCAAAACTAATGTTAAGGTGGGAGGGTCCCTTTAATGGGTAAAAGCAAACGATCACGAGGTTAACTATACACAGAAGTGAGCGCAAAACAAAGCAATAGTTTACGGTCATACTTGGTCATATTGAGACGGGTTACAACTTACACAGCACATTGGGTGGACGCGTTTCGTCTAAATGACTTTTTTGACACCCTCTCGGAAATTAAAACAATACAAACACAAACACAGGTAGCTACCTGTGTTTGTGTTTGTATTGTTTTAATTTCCGAGAGGGTGTCGAAAAAGTCATTTAGACGAAACGCGTCCACCCAATGTGCTGTGTAAAGCTCAGGCTACACTGTCAGCGTTTTTTTCGGTTTCTGCGTGATTTCGGTTTCCGCGTTTTTACGGTTTCTGCGTTTTTTCGTTCCGGGCGGCCGCCGAGTGGACGCTGTTGTTTATAACATTCTGATGGATAAGTGATCGAATTAATTAATTATTCATGTTAAATAGTATTGTATTTTAACAAAATTATAATTGAATAATTGTTTTAAAGATTTTACAACTAACCAAAATATATTTTCGATCATAATCATTTGTCAGCTTAGATACAATTTTCTGTATTATCATATTTGAAGTAAAATGAAGAGTTTTGAAACATATCTTGTCTTCTTTAATCATGAATTACACCATTTTCATCATTTACTTTTGAAACTGTTCCATCGTCACAATATTATCAGCAACAATCACTTCTAATCATTCATCACTAAAACGAAATCCCGCAGAAACCGAGAAAAAGTTCACAGCTCTGAACTTTTTTTCGGTTCCGACTCGTCGGTTTTTGCGGGTTTTCGTTCCACGGGACGCCAGACTGGCAGTGTAGCTTGCGCAATGCATTCGCTATGAGGCGAACTTGACGACGCGAACCGAAATCCTGCAGAAACCAAAAAAACGTCGGAATTCATGCTAGTGTAGCTTAGGCTTAACCCGTCTCAATATATATATTTGTCTATTACTACTCATACTTGGCCATACTCATTAAAAGCGCGTTGAAATAGTTAGGTTTAAGCGAGGCGGCATCATCCCCACTTTGCTAAATGCTCAGGCTCTACCATTATGTTCGCCTGCCGGCAGCGCCGGCAGCGAACAAAAAAAGTTCGGCTGAGCCTGTTTGTCAGTATGTATGTATGTATGTGAGTTTGTCCAAGCTTTTTTGGACCTGGAGTCAAAATGGGTGGACCGATCGGGACCAACGTGGTACCGTTCGACTCGTCACCGGCGAGGTAAACTTTTGGTGCTGGCCTCGGTTCGCTCAGTGCTTCGTGGCACATGCTATTCCACTTCAAAGTTTCGGTGACACGAATTTTTTTGTCAAGGCTACAGGTCAACCCGAGGTCACGGACAAAGCCACACTGGCGGGACACATCGGTAACACCTTGAACCAGTTTCCAGGGGGGTCACCGTCTGCGAGGGGTGCAGGCTGCACGTGCTGGTGGCGGAAAGCCGTTTTGACGTGAGGTCCTCTGGCTCAAAGAAATTTTGAGCTATCAACTTCAAAATCGGTTCAATTGTAGTCCCAGGCAAGGCCTCCAAAATAGTGCACATTTGGTTGAGCTAAACTCTGTGGTGCATGAGCTATGCACGTGCAAGCCGATTGCACCCCTTCGTACGTTGCCACGCCTGCAGGGTAAACGGCAGCTCTAACTGGTTCAAAACTTGCAGGTCATAAGAAAAAATGCATTGAATCTTGACATTTCGGCGAGATAATATCCGAGGGGTGCAAGCTGCGCGTGCGGGGGGCGGTTAACGGTTTTGACGATGGATCCTCTGATCACGGGAAACGTCGAGATAGCGACACAAAAGTCGGTACACTGATAGAACTAGACACATGCTACAGGATGCTATGAAAATGACTGCACTGGGGTGCCTGGGACATGAACTATGCACGTGCATATCTTACTGTAGGTAGATATCCACACCAATCTCACGTGCTTCCAAGCATTTTTGGGATGTTTCGGTTGGTTTCAGGTTCAGTCCAAGCTCAGTCTGGGTTTCGGTGGTTTGGCCCGGTGTGTGCCTTCAGTACCGTACCTCCAATTCTGGCCCAAGGCAACGCAAGAGCGCTGCCGGCATCTGCCGGGGTGCCTGGGACATGAACTATGCACGTGCATATCTTACTGTAGGTAGATATCCACACCAATCTCGCGTGCTTCCAAGCATTTTTGGGATGTTTCGGTTGGTTTCAGGTTCAGTCCAAGCTCAGTCTGGGTTTCGGTGGTTTGGCCCGGTGTGTGCCTTCAGTACCGTACCTCCAATTCTGGCCCAAGGCAACGCAAGAGCGCTGCCGGCATCTAGTCTATTACTACTCATACTTGGCCATACTCATTAAAAGCGCGTTGAAATAGTTAGGTTTAAGCGAGGCGGCATCATCCCCACTTTGCTAAATGCTCAGGCTCTACCATTATGTTCGCGAGTCACCCCGGCCAAAATGGCAGGACTCTCATTTTTCCGCGTTCCGCTCGTGACGCCAGCTCTAGTCAACTCCGTCTGATTGGTCGTCGCTTAGGGCACGTGACCCCTCGACGCCCCAGGCTAAGGGTATCGGGCGAACGCGGCACGGCACCTTGGGCCGCGAGCTGCCCCTCGGCTAGACTAGACATCACATCGCGTTATGATGTGCGATTTATGCAGTTCCCAACACCTTAGCGCTTCCAAAATGACAAATGCATCATTGCGGTTGCATTGCGCTTACCACACGGTTGTTACGGTAGCTGTCCTGGGACATGCAAATCATAATTGCCGTATGTTTATTTTTTATGCTCGACTGTTTCCGTTTCGCACTTGTCTACGCACCTACTAATTTGTCTAATGTTAAAAACACAGCGGTGGTTGCCATGTGACTGGACGGCTGTGAGCTGAGCGCTTTCTGCACTGCCCGATCCTTGACCGACTATTGCAGGCAATAGTGTGCCCCTGATCGCACACTGGGTGCCTCTGAACGTCCGCTGGGCGTCCGACTGAGGTCCTCACGGTGCCCTTACAGTGGATAATCAAGTCGCCGTCTGGGTGCCTCTAACCGCGTCCGCTGGGCGTCCGACTGAGGTCCTCACGGTGCCCTTACAGTGGCTAATCAAGTCACCGTCTGGGTGCCTCTAACCTGTCACTGGGCGTCCGACTGAGGTCCTCACGGTGTCCCTTACAGTGGCTAGCCAAGTCGCCGTCTGGGTGCCTCTTTAACCACCGTCTCCGTACGCCCCAAACGTCCTCCGGGCGCGCTGACCGTCTGCTCCGCCTCCGACAGGGCCGTCAGCAGCGGCCGGTGGCGGGCCATTTTCGGCAGCATCTGTCTGCTGTCGGCAGTGACTCGACTGTACGACCTCCGCAGTCCTCCCTGGGTGGCGTGAGTTATACACAGGCGTCGCCTGCTTATTTGTATAAATCATTGTTTGGAGGGTCAAATGTCTATATATTTTGTGTTGTTATCACGGATTAAAAATGCGGTAAATGATCAATATGCGCCACGAGTGCATTGGAACATTTGCTCATGGTACAGCTTGGTCGGAAATTACGAGCCTTTTGATAAACTCCGTCGGCGTTGTCGCTTGTAATGACCAATAAAACAGCCATGAACGAACTTTCCGATTAATGAATTTACCTACTCGAAACCCATTAGGAATTAGCCTTCATATCAAACATAGCTAAACTTTTTTGTCGCTTCCGTGATACTGCAAAAAAAAATGAAGGGCAGTAAATGCCACTCTTTCATTTAATTGATAATTGTTCTCAGTTGCTCTGAAACTGCCTCTTGAACTCACCTGTTCGCTTTTCAGGTGGGATGAAACCCACTTCGGTAAGATGGCAAACTGGTACATAAACCGCACTTTCTTTTTCGACGTTCATCCACCTCTTGGGAAGGTAAGTAATAGATTTAAAATAAGGTTAGAAATAAAGGAAGCCTCAGGAACGGAATAGTCCGTGAGCTTTAATAGACTGATTATATCGAATGTATTTTATTTTTGTCAAGCGGCACATTGCATATGATATCAGGCAGCTTTTGTCAAATTGTCAGGGAACTCAGATTTGTTTTTCAATAGAAAAACACAAGTTTTAACTATTGACAATAAACCTTCGGTTATTTCGTTACATCTATGTTAAATATTTATTATTTTGTTCCGTTACAGCCATGTTTCATCGCAATGTAACCAAAAAATATCTGCTTTTGTTTCCTAAAAAGTTAACTGCATTGTCTGCATTTTGCTGTCAGATTCTAATCGCTGGTGCCGGCTACGCCACGGGATACAACGGCTCGTTCCCTTTTACAAAGCCAGGCGAACAATTCAACGAGACCAGCTTTGTGGGAATGCGAGCGGTAAGAATTAACAAGTCAAGAAATGCCTTGGCCTTATGTTAAATTTTGAACCCTTAAAACGTTATCTTAAATCTTAATTCTTAATATTTTGGTGATAGATATGATGATTTTCTACGTATTACTCGTATACTAGCGTAAAATATTCTCTTCCTAAAATTATTTGATCATTAGTGAAGGACATCCAAACATCGTTTCTATTTTCCTATCCGTAAGTTTTGTTCCCACGGGTGACGCCATCACACCCTAGGACCTTTATAATTATGGATGACCTGACCTGAACACTGACCTAACCCTACCTGTGGCGCCGTCAGTTGTGCGCCACGATGGGCGCCTCGATCGTGCCGATGGCGTTTATAACTGTCGATGACCTCACGGGGTCAGTGACGGCCGCCACCCTCGGCTCCCTGCTGCTGGCGCTTGGTGAGTACTGAGTATCCGAGGTCATCTGGTGAGTATCCGAGGTCAACTGTGCCTGGTTCATGTTTTTTTTTTCGCTCCATCAGTCTCGTACATGCTGCAGGGTGGTATTCACGCCACCGTTTGAGATACAATCCATGTAAAATGCATGGTTTATTACATGTTTAACATTTATGATAACGTATTCCTGTTTTTTTTTTCAGATGTGGGCATTACAACTATCAGTCGTTTTATTCTTCTCGATCCCATCCTGATGTTTTTCATGGCTGCCACAACGATGTTCAACTTTAAATTCAACAAATACAGGTGAGAATAGAATGCTAACATAAGAGAAATACAAAACAAGTTAACAGCCAATGCCCTAAAACTTCATCAGCCTTCTTATTAGTTAGCAACTAGCAAGCTGATCGTGCATATATAATCCTTGTAACGTCGAACACTTAACCATCTTACGAAAGATTAAATGCTTTACAGATAAATTGCGACATTCTACGCTTTCGCCTTACTTCTTCAATCACTTCAGCCCCGTTTTAAACAGCGCAAATGATTAGACGGAAGCCGGCTAAATGCTGGCGTTGGCCCTGGTCATTGTGCAAAATATCTTTTAGTTTTCAATGGGATGAAGTTTGTTTTTAAATTTTCCTCGTCCTTCACCATATCTGACAAGAAAATGTTGGCGGAAATGGAAAAATATGTTTTTATCGTTCCGAAGCGGCAGGCGTGCGCTCAACTTCTCGTAAACTACCGCTAGAACTTTGAGTTCGCTTTTTTAGCTGGTTTCGAACTTGTCTTATAGCGCCGGGAGAAAAGTTACAAGTCTGATGTGCGTACTTCTTTTGGTCGAAGACCTGGCTAACGTCTAATGGCTGATTGGTGTGTGCTAGCTTCAAATAAAGAAATTACAGGTGATTTGTGCTACCACCAGAGCACATAGCTCAGCTTTTATATCTGCCATCATGAATATTATCTCCATTTAGTTTCAGGCCATCCAGCATTAAGCTCAGTGGCAGCAACCACTTCGGTCCAAGGCCCCGGGACTGGCACGTAATTTATAGTCGCGAGAGCTCCACCGGTGCGCCGTGGGAACAGCACAGACCGTCTCTCTGAGGTGGCGCATCTGCAGGAGTTCTTCCAAAGGTCACTAGCAGTGCTTCAAATTGGACCCTCACTGTGCTCCCTGCTCGAATCCAGACGTAAAACAGTTGGTGGAATTATTTTCAGTACTTGATGGATAGGAATTGCAAGAAGACAAGCGGTTCTGGCAATGGTTGAACCTGCCTGTGCAGTGACTGACAGCCCCTTACAAACAACTGAGAAATGGCTCTCGGATAAACTGGCGGGCTGCCATATAAAACGCCGGCGGAATTGTTTTACCGTCAGTTGGTTGTGTCAGAGACAACATCTGTCAGGTCGTATCACTCGGCGCAGGCAGACCATAACTCGGCGAGACGCCACTGCCGACAGCCTAAAATGTTTCCTCTCGCGGTAGCGGCCGGCAGAGACTCAGAAAGGTCAGGGGTCGGACTGCCTCCCCGGCCGGTGTTAGGAGGTCGTCACGCTCACCTCAACAGCCGCCGGCGCCCCGTGAACACTTAATGAGCAGCCAAAGGGAGCCACAAACTTCTGATGACTTGTACCGGCACCTCTTCAGTGGTCTGCTGATGGCATTGACTTAAAACGTTTTAAATTGCATTAGAACTTCGAAGATAGATATATTTACCTAATATATATGTTACGGGTCATATGCTAACTTGGGCAGTATGCAAACTGCCCGGGCAGTATGCATACTACCCAACAGCCCGGGCAGTATGCATACCGCCCGGGTAGTATGCATACTACCCGACCCCTTGGGCAGTATGCATACCTCCCGGGTAGTATGCATACCACCCACCTTTCTTCTCACGGGCAAGATATTTACTCGGGCAGTATGTTGACTACACTTCGTGAGGCTTGTTAATGCAATAACTCGCGTATATGTTACGGGTCATATGCTAACTTGGGCAGTATGCAAACTGCCCGGGCAGTATGCATACTACCCAACAGCCCGGGCAGTATGCATACCGCCCGGGTAGTATGCATACTACCCGACCCCTTGGGCAGTATGCATACCGCCCAAAAGCTTGGGCAGTTTGCATACTGCCCGTTTTCCGACTTAAAGTTGTGTAATCCATGCCCACATTAAGAATATAAATGGCTCTCTAGATAACAATAGATCGAACGAGAAGAATTTTTGTCGTCAAACGTGATTGATCGATCGTAGGATGGAATGAGGATTGGAATAAAGTGTTGAAATTACTTTTTCCCAAATCCATTGTTGAATAACCCGCTGGCCAACAAGTCATTGTCATTGTGAAGCGTGAACTGAGTAAAATGAAACGACGACGACAAAATTTGACGTCATCAATTTTGAACAGTTCTTTTTTCGCTATAACTTTGCCAAACAAGAGGAATCAATCTCAAATTTGGTATGAGGATAGAAGGCGGTAGGGACTATCACATATTTTCCGTTTTTTCGAAATTCAAAAAAAAACTTTTTGGATTTTTGCCTATAATATTCAAAAAATTACTTTTTTGATTTTTTTTTGGGGGGGGGGTCAAAATCTAAAAATTTTAAAAATCCGAAATAGCGGTTTTGTAGCCCTCTAATTCGACACCTTTTATACCTGTTCTTAAACATTTTCTGTATCTATAAAGCTGTGGGCCTGACAGCTCTTCCCGCGAAACCTTTTTTTGGGTCGAAAATGGCAGAAATGACGTCACTCCGACGTCATTAGCGGCCAACCTATCATAGCCTTTGGAAAATTTTTGGTCACAATGTGTAATAGCTACGATCCCGGGAGGGTACTGAAAGTTTGGTGGCAATCGGCACAGCGGAATTCTGGAGATATATCGAAAAAAAAACTAAGGGGACAAAAAATGCCCCCCCCCCCACCACCCGGAAGGTTAAAACGTTTGTCATTCACATATATACGCGAGTTATTGCATTAACAAGCCTCACGAAGTGTATAAGTCAACATACTGCCCGAGTAAACATCTTGCCCGTGAGAAGAAAGGTGGGTGGTATGCATACTACCCGGGAGGTATGCATACTGCCCGGGCGGTATGCATACTGCCCAAGGGGTCGGGTAGTATGCATACTACCCGGGCGGTATGCATACTGCCCGGGCTGTTGGGTAGTATGCATACTGCCCGGGCAGTTTGCATACTGCCCAAGTTAGCATATGACCCGTAACATATATATGTGAATGACAAACGTTTTGACCTTCCGGGTGGTGGTGGGGGGGGGGGGGGGGGCCTTTGCTGTCCCCTCTTAGTTTTTTATATGTCTCCAGAATTCCGCTGCGCCGATTGCCACGAAACTTTCAGTACCCTCCCGGGATCGTAGCTATTACACATTGTGACCAAAAATTTTCCAAAGGCTATGATAGGTTGGCCGCTAATGACGTCAGAGTGACGTCATTTCTGCCATTTTCGACCCAAAAAAGGTTTCGCGGGAAGAGCTGTCAGGCCTACAGCTTTATAGATACAGAAAATGTTTAAGAATAGGTATAAAAAGTGTCGAATTAGAGGGCTACAAAACTGCTATTTCGGATTTTTTAAAATGTTTAGATATTGAACCCCAAAATCAAAAAAAGTAATTTTTGAATATAATAGGCAAAAATTCAAAAAAGTTTTTTTTGAATTTCGAAAAAAAAAAACGGAAAATACGAGTATGTGATAGTCCCATCCGCCTTCTATCCACATACCAAATTTGAGATTGATTCCTCTTTTTTGGCAAAGTTATAGCGAAAAAAGAACTGTTCAAAATTGATGACGTCAAATTTTGTCGTCGTCTTTTCATTTTACTCAGTTAACGCTTCACAATGACAATGACTTGTTGGCCACTGGTTATTCAACAATGGATATGGGAAAAAGTAATTTCAACACTTTATTCCAATCCTCATTCCATCCTACGATCGATCAATCACGTTTGACGACAAAAATTCTTCTCGGTCGATCTATTGTTATCTAGAGAGCCATTCATATTCTTAATGTGGACATGGATTACACAACTTTAGGTCGGAAAGCGGGCAGTATGCAAACTGCCCAAGCTTTTGGGCGGTATGCATACTGCCCAAGGGGTCGGGTAGTATGCATACTACCCGGGCGGTATGCATACTGCCCGGGCTGTTGGGTAGTATGCATACTGCCCGGGTAGTTTGCATACTGCCCAAGTTAGCATATGACCCGTAACATATATACCCCGTATGCAGATAAATTGCCTCAAGTGCAGTACCTACCATTAGTATATCGTCATATTGGTATCATTAGTCATTATCATTCCTCATATTTGCTATTTGTCATTTGTTTACCTGATATCATTTTATAATAATTCAAGGGCATACCGAGTTATATGCATGATTGCGCTTTTCATCATTTTGTAATGGTGAAGCGTGTCTACCCTAACGGGCTGCATTATCCGCCCAATGCACATCTGTAGGTACGCTGTGAGTGCCCACACGTCTCAGCGGGACCGACTGACCGTTTCCAGATCGTTCAGCGGCCGCTGGTGGCTCACGCTGAGTCTCACCGGACTCTCGCTCGGCTGCGTGCTGAGTGTCAAGTTTGTGGGCGTGTTCGTGCTGGCCGTGGTCGGCCTGTATACAGTCACCGACCTCTGGTCCATCTTCTGCGACTATACGCAGCCGCTGGTGAGTGAACAATAAAATAAATTATCTTCGGTTTTGGATAGAAATAATCATAAAAGTGATTGAATACAGCTTGCATGCATTTAACGAGTCATAAAAAGAAGTCAACAGAAAAATTCGTGAGGACACAATTTAGCATACAGATGCCGCTTCGGGCGAGAATAAAAACCGCAAATAGTTAAAAGGGTCCGTATGGGAAAGACTTTCACAGACGGAAATATTTTTTACACATGACTGATCAAAAGTCGGAAGAGACAAAATCAACAGACGATATCGAAATGATAGGTACATAAGCATTTATTTTGTCCATCAAAAATACGTAGATCGCTTTTGAACCTTTCAGGGAAACTTTCCTTTGTAATTTTGCGATCTCCAAGTACAACGCACGGTTCTTCATTGACCGCAACTATGCCAACAATCGTGTTGTTTTCTAACGTGAAAACTTATTGAAATGCTGTTGTTTTTCAGACGCACACGGTGAAGCACTTCTTGGCCCGTGCGCTGTGTTTGATCGCCATACCAGCTGCCACTTACCTGATGGTGTACTGCATTCACGACGCTCTCATATTGCAAGTGTAAGTAACTATCATCATATTTTATGTTGATAGATATGAGTAACACCAACAACATAACTGGTCGTACTAAAAAGGAAACTGGTAACTTTAAAACTGTTTCAAATCTTTAAAACTCAAAAGTCATACCGCGTTGCATTTGCTGCTCCCATTCCAATATTTGTCCCGTTTCTCTGAGATAGTACAATCAGCAGCAGTCTTAACGAGGCCTATACATACATACACATTACCTGTATACCTATCTCCAAGGAAATATGAGTCACTTATGCTCACTCTCAATCATTCGGTTTTCAGCGGGGACCAGCACGGATTTCAGGGCGACTCTTGGCTCAGCGCCGGCTCTCAGATGCAGCTCAAAAACAGCGACATGTACAAACTCAAACAGCCACAGTGTGAGTGGTGGGAGCATAACGAGTATAAGATTATATTGGGTAGGAGACGCGCCGGAGCGGTAAAAGGCGCGGGCCGTGCTACAGCTAACGTATCATCCTCTGTGAACTATGCTGGCTGATCATATGGCAACCTTTTGATAAATGCCTAGTAATCCGTCACGTTCATATTTAGCGACTAAGCACTGGTCAGTGGACGCTATTGCCTACGCCCTGTGCCTAACCGTACCACGCCGTTCTCTCCGAGCAGACCTGGCGTACGGCTCGCTGGTGACCCTGCAGACGATCGGCTCTCACAGCAGCTTTCTGCACTCGCACAACCTCAGCTACCCCGCCTGGGACTTTGAGAACACGACCGACACCGCGAGCACGCTCAACATGTCCGAGATCTACTCCGTCACCGGCTTCCGACTCAAGGACGTCAACAACTTCTGGTAAGAACGTCAACAACTTTTGGTAAGGACGCTTAAAACTTCCGGTAGAAACGCTGGAGAGCTTCCGGAAACGACAAGAAGCGAGTAAGAACGTTTAGTGAGGCCGTCAATAATTTGTGGTGACTGCGTACCTTCACGAAAAGCAATGTCACAAAACTGCCTACCCCAGTGTCAATTTAATACCGAGCAGCTTAGCCACAGTTCGGTCCGGTAAACTGCATCAGTATCGATACTCTGAAGTCAAAAGGAACGCTACATGGTCGTCTTTTGCCTACACATTGACCGTTCCGACTCCCTTCCCCTGCGATTCCGACCACAGGAAGATCGTGCCCCATGACGAGGAGGACATCCCGGACTGGGAGAACCCGTACCTGCCGCCTGAGCCAGTGCTGAATGGAGACACGATCCGGCTCATCCACAACGGCACCGGGCGCACGCTCAGCGCGTTCACTGAGCGAGCCGTGAAGACGAGCACCCAGCAGCTGGTCGGTACTCTGCCGCAGGTGAGTGGGTGGGGGGGGGGGGGGGCAGGGAGGGGGTGGGGTCAGGGAGAGGGTGGGAGGTCACGGACAGCACCGGTAGCAGAGCAGCTAGCAAGAATAACTCGTTATAAAACGACCGGACTTTGTTATGCTATGACTGAAAAGATTGTTCCGGGATTCAGGAAATCGCATGCGAAAGCCTATTCAAACACATTACTCTCGCGCTATTAATTGCTCCCCTCTCCGTGCTTGCGCTTGACGCGAAAGTCAATCAGCATATGACCACGGAAGTGTTAAAAGTGTGAATCACTTAGCATTGTGCCCGAAGTGACCCGGTTATGCATCCCGATTACAGAAGAAAACCAAGGAGTTCCAGACGGCGTTCGTGCTGAACGCCGCCGGCCTGCCGGACGAGGCGCAGATTGAGGCCATCAACACCACTTTCAGACTGTACAACCCGTACCTGAAGTGCGCCCTGTACGTCTGCGAGGAGAAGCTGCCAGACTGGTGAGTGAGGCGGCGGCAGAACTGCGGTGGTTTTTCAAACTTCCACCGCCGATAAAAACAATCCCAGCTGAACGTTTTTAGGGTATTATGGTGGACACCTATGCGCGCAAGCGGGTAATTGCTAATTATATTGCATTTTCAGCCCGTTGGCTGCTTGTCTCAAGCATGTGCCTCTTATTCATTGAATGTTGTGGAGCTTTAACTGGAATAGCTGTCGACGCATCCTTTGAAATTTGAGCCGAACTGCCGTAATTTTATTCCGCAGCCCTGAACCATTTATGGTGATTAGCGCCGGTAGTGAATTTTATGGTGAGCTGCGCGCAGCAATAAATATTCCCGGTCTGCTCTTATCTTGGGCCCGCAGTTGTTGCTGTTCCGTCGTGAGACAGATTGCCAGACTGGCGGTGTGCCGACCGTTTACGGTACAGCAGCATTGCAGCCGATTTTTTTTTTAGTGGAAACTCTATACCTATCTTTAGTCGATATTCATGTTTCACATGCATGATAGTAGGCGTTTACTTTTCAAAGGAGAACGTTGAGCGACGTATTTTACCATTAATAAGTGAACTTATCAGTATCCGGGATGCAAGTAACGGGTACCTTTTGTCTATTGGTTTATTTCTATTTCTTTCGTGTTATTAAAAATAAGTGCATCATCACTAGAGGAATACAAAAGCTCTTAATATAAACGCTCTTAACTCTTATAAAACTCTATATAGCTGAGAGTATTCTCACTAAATCAGCTATGAGACGCATATGAATAGCGCCTCGTTTTCCTCCCTGCAGGGCGGCTCAGCAGCTGGAGGTTACGTGCAGCAAACGGCTGACCGACGACGGAGTCTTCTGGTCCGCGCATCGCAACATCCACCCGGGCAGTAAGTGAAGTTGGGTCACAAAGTAACAACAATCACATTATAATCAAAGTAGTGCAGACTGCAGACCATGACCATTTGCTTTATGGAGGGCACGTAGGCCGTGAAAATACAATCACTCACCCCACCCGCATACTGTGGGTCGGTCGATTTAAAGGTCACTACGCTCCGGTGGCGGCACATCCATCCGGCGAGCTATCTCGGCGCCCACATCTCCCTGGGGCGGCCGGACAATCTGCGCGCTGAGCCCCGCTTCCGCCCACCACCCGGTGACCGCTGCGGTCGCCCCAGAGACATCCCCCGGCGGCCAGACCTGCCGACGGGGCAGTCCGGCCGCAGAGAGAGGCGTGACTGTCCTGTGTGCCGAGAAACCTCGGATAGGGGAGGGGGGACGGTCCATGGTAGTGCTAAAGAAGGCGAGCCGGGGAGGGGCGGACTGGACCCCCGCCAGCCGGTCACGCCTGCCCCGGTGTGCCCGGCTGACCCGTCAGCGGTACCCCTCCCGCCAGAGACCATTGATCGGTCATCAGACGCGGCCCGTCGCGCGGCGTGACGTCACCAGGTGTGTGACGTCATCAGCCGGGGTCTGACACGGCCGCCGGCCGATGGCCACTTGTCAGCGCTGGCACGGCGCCGGCCGGCTAATGATCGCCACGCGGGTCGCTGATGAGCACACTCGGCCGCGCTGACTGCTGACCCAGCGAAACGCTGACAAACGAGTGGGCACCAGCCCGGTAATGGATGCGGAATACGGTCCCCTTCAGACTTGTGACCCGGGAAACATGCATGGAAGCTAATAGATTATTCATATTGTGATGCATCGACTGATGTTGCAGATTGTATCTATCAGCATACTATTACGCCTAATTCGTGTTACTTTATGAGGTGTTTTTTTCCATTCCTGTATGTATATTCGCGTCGCCACCCCGTCGAGCGACGCTGCCGCACCATTGGGGCCGGGCTGATAGCCGGTCGGTCGCGGGGCGATTCTTCATCGTCACCTATTGCCGCCAGCGATCCGCGCCGCCGCGGCGCCTCCCCTCCCCTCCCACCCCCGTCGGAGCGGCTCGTCATCTCGCCCGCCGATTGTCGACGGCGACGATTGGTGCCGATTGGTTTAGTGGGTCGTTACGGGGTGTGATTGGGTGCCGAATGCGCTGATAAATTCGCCAACCGCGGTCAGCGTCAGCGGTCAGCGCCGGACAGGGGTGGCACAGCGCCGTTGGGCAGATTGAGACCGTGATGGGCTGTTGGAGACAGCCGGCGAGACTCTCCCTCCCTCTCTCTCTCTCTCTCTCTCTCTCTCTCTCTCTCTCGTCTCTCTCCCTTCACTGACGCGCGTCCGATGCGCCTCACAGTGCCGAACGTCACCAAGTACTGGCGCCGGTTCCACTCGACCCTACTGCAGCGGTTCGTCGAGACGCACCGCATCATCACCACCGTCAACGGCAAGCTGAAACCCAACCGGGTCGCCATGCTGCACGCCGACAAGCCCTGGATGTGGCCCATCCTCTACCGGGTAAATATGAATGTGCAAAGGACATAAGCTTCAGATGTGCTTTTCACCAGACAAATGTGGCTCTTGTGCTTCGTAAATGCGTGCCTAGGTCGTAAATCTGCAGGTTGCTTTCGCAATGTCGGGCGAATCTTCATTTATTTTGACGTAGAAGTGTGAAACTGCTTGACAGGTTAGATAATTAATAAGCAGAAATGTATCCTCTCCCGGGTGATATGGAGTACCGTTAAAAGTGCAGCATTTCACCCGCGTCCGTTCACAGGGCCAGTACTTTTCGATGGTGGACTCCCAGCGTGTGTACCTGCTGGGCACGGCGCCGATCTGGTGGGCCAACCTGGCGCTGCTGCTGCTCAGCGGTCTCATCATGATGTACATCGGGTACAGGGCGGCACGGGGGGAGCACGGCCCCGACGCCCAGACCCCAGAGCGACAGAGAGACGGTGAGTGTACAGGGCGGCACGGGGCGGGCGTCAACGCCCACACGACGGAGCGCCAGACGGTCGGTGAGTATAGGTATTTACAGTCACTGACTGAGTATTTAGTTAGTGGTCATAATCGATCAGGAATGTTCCACGGACTCAGCGTGGTTAAAGGGTGGTCTCGGGGCAGTGTCAGGGTGTCACGTGAAACGGATTCACATTTACTCGCCGTGAGATAGGGTCGACAATTAAAGGGTCTAATGTGGCTAGGGCATATATTTGAGACAGTAGTAACATACATATTTGCTGAAAAGGCGACAAGGCCTTGCATAATTTTCTTCAGACTACCTCCTAATGCACGGATATATTGTCTCATTTAATATCGGATTTCTATCCATCGACTGATACTAATTGACACGATCTTTTGCTGGAAATATATAATCTTACCTGGTAACGAACCGGCGGGCCATCGGGGAGACACGGAACTGAGCCATAAAAGAAATGGTAATTGCCTTTCCCAGAAACGGTGGCAAGTCTCTCAGTCAAGATAATAGGCCAGAGTGCTGCAAGTAAAGTCGTTTAGAACTGGTTATCTTCACTTCCAGCAACTCAGGCTACATCCCAGTTTCGTCTGACTAGGAAGTACCGGTTCATGTCTCAACTGAGCGGGGATCACGGAGTACATGATGTAGGTTAAAATAATGAAGTGTCCTATTTATGCTATAGGCATTGATAGGTATAAGGTACCGGCATTATTATTGCAGGCTACCGGTGGCATGATTATTTCGTGGGCGGTACGCCTCAGCAGTCCGCATTCCAAACATAGTGTCGTCGAAATTTCGATTGTGAGGAACTGCTCCGATGGTTATTGATTTGCATAACCCAAGAAGACATCAAACTGACAATAGCATAGCATCATAATATGGTTTGGAAAATACCATTATTGTTTATTCTTTGCTTATTTGGATGTTGGCAGACCAAATGTTTCCCGAACCACTCTCCACCTAAAAACATTGGCAATTCCCTTGGGCAATTATATATAGAGAAAAGATAAACACGGGAAATCCCGCCATTTTCCATCGGAGTTGCCCAACCCACGTCTGCCCCAGAGTAAGGCAAGAGTAAAAAGTTTACCAGGCTTACATCCGCTAGACTTGGAAACCCCTTCAAATCTCCCTCGGGGACGGCCGAAGCTCTCGTTCGCCGAGTTTCGGAAGCTTGTCAAACTGTGTTTCCGATTTGAGAGCTCGCCCGGCCGGTCGGTGGCAACATTTCCGTCTGATCGGCTGATGGCACTCCACTCAGGCAAAACGGATGAAGACGGATAGCTCAGCTTAGCAGACCCATTTGTGGCCGTCTTTACCGTAATCCGCCGCATTGGTTTGATTGCCTGAAATGCCAGGTCTTAAGGGTAGGGGAGAGTGGTGCAGGAGGCCCCCCCTTAAGCTCAGTTGCTATTCTTAGACAACTGATAATATTTAAGAGCTAACGTGTGCATGCGCTGTGAGCATGCATCATTTTCCCATACATATTTGCATTCAAAATGAATCTAGGGGGTACACAAACCGTAAACTTTAACATTTTGGAAAAAGTTGCAAAAGGGCCTCTTACACTATGGGTATGGTAAGACGCCCCCCCCCCCCTCGGGCGTTTTACAAGTCAAGTCGACTTGTAAAAGACGCTTTGCGAACACAGCTGCAAGGCCCTTTATTTCGAAAAGCTAAGCAAATACGGTGTTATCGAAACCAATAACACTTCCAAAGCGCTCGAACAATGCGAAAACTAGCACAACCAAACGCTGATGACCAACGAAAATTGTACCTATTACCTCTAAGAAAGGAAACAGAAAAAAAGAAACAAAAACAAACTCCTTGAAAAAAGAATGCCACGCCTGCCGCAGGTGCAGGCGTTTTAGCATCGGGGGCGTTTTTTATTGGGGGGCGTTTTATCATCCTCGAAGGGAGGGCCTCTTAAAAAATGCAGTGTTTTAGCGTCACAATATTTATGGTTTATGAGACATTTGCAGCGCACCAGAACATGGTCTATTCTGAAGCTAACATGTGACAATTTCGATGAGATAAGATTGCATTTGATAGCCATTGTTTTTTTCAGATATATAAGGGTGATAAAGATGCATATATCTAGCAAGTAAAGGGGCAAAAACAGAAACAGGCTTACCAAAAGTCGCTGCGACGCACCTGATACCTCAGGTTTCGTGAGTTGTTGTTTCAAGAGGGCTTCTGCTTTACAAGAACATTAAAAAATAAATAACATTATTGGTTTGGTAAAAAAAAAGCGATGGGGCCTCTTACCGACCCTGGGCGTCTTACACGGATCTCCCCTATATTGCACTGCTTATTGGATTAGACATGCATTCGGCATCTCATTGTGTGTCTTATGAAACTGACGCCCCGACTGTAATAAGTGTTTAGAAATATTAAACTCAATCATATATCCCAGCAATCATGAGCGAGCATGGAGCACGGCTTTCTTCACATGTTCAGCACGTCTAAATGTATTTTTACGATATTTCGTCGATCGATTTATTATCGTGTACCTAACTACATATAACGGTAGTTGAACATCCTTGATTTCTGTGGTTTTCATACTGGCACGTTTGATGTGACCATTTACATAACAAAATAAGCTATTTGTTTTCTCAAAACTAGACCGATACTCATAACAGCATATCTAGGTATCTATACGTAGGTATATGAGCTGTCAGGCATTGCAGCAGGTGGTTATTTAAATCAATGTAATTATGGCTTATATTTTGTTTCCGAGTTGCATAGTGGATGGTGCCCAAGCCTTTGATACCTACTGATGGCTAGCGCATCGATTGCCAGTTATTGGATTTCGAAAGCAGCTGCAGACCTCACTCAGAAATGACCCTCCTTTGTTTCGAGGGGTCATTCGGTCTGGTGCCGGCTGAAAAAAAAGATAACGGCCACCTCTGTGCCTGGTGTCTGACAGTCCACCTCAACTCTGTAATGTATCAGTTTTAAATAATTCCAAATAATACACAATTTGATATAATGCAACTATCCCGTGTTAGATATAGTGTTATATATTGTAGTATAACTGTTTTAATTGTTATAATTCTTCAGTATAACAGTTACAACTGTGCTGAAAATTATATAATTGATATAATACGACTAAGTGATTTATTCCAAAGATCACTTTCTTCTGCATATCCCTATTACACGATTCACGGTGATCTCGTTAAGGTACTGCTCACCTTCCCTGGATTTGTATAAACAGTCTGACGTATCCCGCCCCTCGGTCTGTTTCAGCGGCCTGGCGCCGCCGCACCGGCCTGGCCTGCCTGTGGCTGGTGTTTGCCTGGGCGGTGCACTACGCGCCCTTCTGGACGATGGGTCGCATCCTCTACTTCCACCACTACTTTCCGGCCCTGTGCTACAGCTGCATGCTCTCAGGTCAGTCGGCGGGGGCGGGGCCCTGAGGGTAACAGGTGGGACGGCAGCGGCGGGTCGCCGGGCTCAGCGGAACCACACCGGCCGCCGAGTTGGCCGCAGGTCACGGCGGTCACGGCGGTCACGGGGGTCGCGTGGGTCACGGTATGGCCCCGAGTGTGTGTGCCGACTCGGAAATGGCACCGCACGAAACAGCTGCCAACAGCCGGCAGTGCAGTATAGGGTGACCTTCAGACCGGCAGGAAAGGCCATATAAAATGTCAGCCGTTCAAAGGCTCAGTATTCTGTGAAATAATAAATCAAATGATACTACGTAGAAACAAGTCAGTTGTTTCGAAACGACGCTATTTATAAACTGCGAACAAACAGCATACACCACTGAGCAGTTTGACAGTGTTTCTTTCTCTATGATTGACTGTGAGACGTTGTGAATACCGAACAGCTGTGTTCCACTGACCCCTGGACTCCTGCGAAGCCGTCTATTGTCTAACGCGACCTCCTGGTCGGTGCCCTCAGGCGTGGTGCTCGACTTCCTTCTGACGAGTCTCTACAGGAAGCTGCCGGCGATGGTCCGCGCCGGAGTCTACCACTGGCTGGTGGCAGCCATCGTCGCCGGCCTCTTCTACAGGTGAGCACCACCAAATTGAAACGGAACTGGCGGTGGCTTCGAGAGTAGTGCTGTGCTATATCGTCAACCGAACGCAATTAATCATATCGATCAAAATGTGCCCATTGCTCTGTGGAGCTTTTATTTAATAAAAAACAGCATAGATGTTATGCAGTCCTGAGTACGGTAACTTAGCTGAAAAGAACATAGACATTTAGAGAAGAACAGTGATGAGATTGAATGATACCTACTCTTACATTTAGGTACACGTGGACATAGCAATTCGTTTTGGCAGCCATAAACGCACCCATGGCCACGCTACCAAAAACGATAAAGAAATCCTAAATTCAACGACAAAAGCGTCTCTAAAGTTTCAATCTGACTTTCAACTTATCCTCGCACATCTGATTACTTCGAGTTAAAAGGAAAATGAGTGTACTGCAAGTACCTATCACAATTATTCATTTATCAAAGATATCGCAGCTGCTTACTGTGGTCATATCGACTCTCGCAGCACTGTCATCCACAACAGTGCTTTGTCATTTGGATTGCGAGTTGCCACCATACGTACGGCCGAACCAGTCAGCTCCCGTCCGGTGCCCTCGGCACGTAAAGACGACAGTTACGAGGATAAGCTCCGTCGCTTCGGGCCGCCGAGCCATCAGCTGGCGTATCGCCCCATCCAGTCGAGTGGCCGATCACGTGACAGACGACTGCCAATGACGGGTCCTCTGCTCTGCTGATGCGCCGTGTCGGCACCGGCCGCCAGAAATCAACCCTCCTTTGTGGCAACGATCCAGAGGGATGGCCTCGACATTTACGGAAAATGGTACTACAATTCGATCCGATTTGTCCCCCCACACCGCTCATGGTCTTATCGAATGTCGGGAGCATGCTGGAAAACGACATGTGATCTTTCAGTCATAAGCTTTTCAAGTGATGGAAAATGCTAAACCCTTCAACTACCATATGGGCATGAGTACCTAGTACGAACCCATTCATCTTGACTCTTGGAACATACATGCTAATACTGCTTTGGACGCATAGGCGTAGGAACGTTTTCGAAAGTGTCCCAGAGGTCCCAGAGGTCCAAAACCTAACCTACCCCCAAAATCCGATTTCTCCTCGGATTTCGGCCACTTTGTTTTCGCAAACATGCTCAGAGGTAAAAAAAAATCGAGACAAAAAAAAGAAAGAAAAAAAAATGGTTGAAATTTCAGGGAGTCTCCCGTCCATAAACTCAAACTGATGGACGCGTTCCCCTGTCCTCCGCAGCCGTTGGCACCCATGCAAATTCCAGAGGCATCCAGCAACTTTTTCATTACGAGCAAGCGTGAAACGTGCAAAGCGAGTCTTTTCAATATACCTATAAAAATCAGCATGAACGGCCCAGCTAGGCTCAGCCAGGCCTATAAGGTTTTTAAGAGGTTTTATATCAGCGACCACTGCAACTGGGCTGATTGACTATCACTTATCAGAGGCCGGTGTGGGACTTTTAGACGGTCTGGGCTTTCAGAGGCCAGTTTAAACCTCCACGGCCCGGTCCTATAAGTTTTCTACATACGCGCTGGCCGAGGGGGCGGGGGGCGGGTACGACCCCCCTCGCCGTTTCGCCCCAGGTGGAGCTAGCGCGTCGCGGAAAAACGAGCGTGTGCGCCGTTACGAGACGCAGAGATCGATACCCGATTTTATGGTCCTAGGTCAACCGGTGACCTCTGACACCGTTCCGTGCTTCTAGCCTCAGGATACTGAAATCCTTCTCCTCCACACCGCAACCCCCTCCGGGCTGGACAGGCAACTTTATCTCATGCGGGCTGCTCCCTTGGAGCGGCACCGCTGCTCCCGAGGGAGCGCACCCCGTAGCCGGGTGCAGTGAGTGCCTTGGGGCTGGGTGACCTGTCCTCTGGACGGGCTCAGCCCCGGCGACTCACTAGGGTGCCTGCCCAGACCAATGTCTCCCCCTATATCCTATCATCCTTCCGGCTCTGAAATGGTCTCATTGGACCGAAAGGGCCTAACCCAACAAAACAAACAAAAACCGGTGACCTCTGAGGTCAGGTCAAGTGCCTCAAGGCACGGTTCCGTTTTTGGTAAATAACTTCGCAAAAAATGGCCGCAGAGCCGCGATTTTGCCAGCATCGTGTTCGCCTCTCTCAGGCGCGTCGAATGATATACTTTTTGTTTGGGTGAGGTAAACTTAGGGTGTTGACCTCGGGTCACGGTCAGGTCGGCGTCCCCAGGTCACGAAATTGGTCGAAGGAGGTCATGTCGCATATCATTCGATTCGGCAGGTCTTCTTGAGTCCATAGGTGGCATTCCCGACTCGCTAGCTCAATTTGATCGGTACCTAGTTATTGACGAAAAAAACTAATAAGACCCTTATAACTTCATAAATGACGTCGCGCAAGGTCAACATTGCAAAAGTGACGCATCGAACCTTGCAAGGAGTGCATGAAATCACGATTCGGTGTGCTTGAGATAGTTGGAGATCGATCGTTCCCGGCGCCAGAAAAAGTTTTCAGTTTATCCCCATTGACTTATACCTAATGGTGAGGTCACGAAAATGACCTGACCTCATATGAACTTTAGTAAAAATCCGAGATATACATTATACAAGTTGAGAGACTCCTACATTGGATACTAGGTCCTCCAAGGTTCATTTCCCTGTGAAATCTCCTCTGGCAGTGAGGGCGTTGCGAAGTTGCGACATCTGAAGACCGTGCAGAGGTTCACTTATGACCACATGGGTCAGTGACCTGATCTGACCCGAAAATGCGGTTGGTGTCAAAAGATCCCGTTTGATTCAAAGGTCAGGTATGCCAAGCTTCAGCTCTCTATCGCCGGCGTGTTCGGAGCTATCGCGAAAAAAACCTATGGACGGGCGGCACCCGCCCCCCCCCCGACCGGCGAGGGTTAAGGCCCTCAGAGACCAGTACAGGGCCTGCAAAGGGCAGGATGAGACCTTAAGATGCCGACTTGGGCCATCAGAGGCTAATGTGGGTCCTTACAGGCCAGTATGGGCCCTCAGAGGTCAGTGTGGGACCCCAAAATGCCGGCATGGGCCGGTGTTGGACCCCAGAGGCCAGCAGAAGACCCTCAAAAACCAAGATGGGCCTCAGAGGCCAGCATCGGGTCTTCAGAATCCAGTGCAAGGCCCTCAGAGACTAATGCGTGTCCTTACAGGCCAGCATGGGCCCTTAGAGGTCAGTGTGGGGCCGTAACAGACCGGCATGGGCGGGACTTGGAACCTAGAGACTAGCGGAGGGCCCTCATAGGCCAAGGTGGGCCCTCAGAGGCTGATGCGGACCCTTGGAGACCGGCATCGGATCTCCGGAATCCAGTGCGGGCCCTTAGAGGTCAATGTGGGACCCTAAAATACCGGCATGGGCCGGTGTTGGAACCCAGAGACCAGCAGAAGGCCCTCAAAAACCAAGATGGGCCTCAGAGGCCGGCATCAGGTCTTCAGAATCCCGTGCAAGGCCTCATAGGCTAATGTGGGTCCTTACAGGTCAGCATGGGCCCTTAGAGGTCAGTGTGGGGCCCTAAAAGACCGGCATGGGCCGGCGTTGGACCCCTCAGGCCAAGGTGGACCCTCAGAGGCCGATGCGGACCCTTAGAGGCCGGCATCGGGTCTTCAGAATTCAGTGCGGGGCCCTCAAAGGCACCTAAAGGCTAGTCTTGGGACCCCAGAGACAGAAATGAGGCCACCAGAGGCCGGTGTGAGGCCCTCAGACGCCGGCTGGGCCCTTGAGGCCGGTTTAGGGGCCCTCAAATGAGGTCAATGTGGGTTCTCAGCGGTCAATGTGGGCGCTTGACCGCCACTGAAGGGCCCTCCGCGATCAGTGTAGGATCCTCAAAGACTGGTTTGGGAGCTGTTAAGCTAGCGTGGAATTCTTGAGTCTCGTGACAATCGAATAAGGGCCAGAGCCCCATACGCCCATGGGGGCCCATTGGTTGTTTGGGGGGCCAAATGATATGATGGCCCCCTGATTAGTCTTTGGAGGGGGAAGGGCATGGCCCTGAATCTGATCCCCCTCTGCGACCGCCACTTCACTGAAAGTGGAAGGGGGAGGGGCAGAAACAGACATTGCTGGCCCCCAGCCTGTTTGAACCGAGGCTGAGGCACGGTCACCCTGGCCCCCAGCTAGTACGCCTTTGACGAACTATGCCGACCCCAAGCAGATAAGGTCAAGCGTTGGTCGTTTGTATACGCATTCTCCTGCACCGTGCTAGTATTGTCTTAGTATTGCCTATACCTTTTTAGTGCTCGCTGTCCCGCGCCTCGTATTCAACAAAATGCTGTCACCAGGACTCACAGTCTTGTCTCTGATATGGTTTCCTTCATTGAGTGAAGGAAATTGCGGTCAATAACGCTGTAGAAACAAAAAGGAATCCTCATTAAAGGGCAAGCTGAATAGTTGTCAAGTTACCGGGTGGTAGGTTAGGTACAGACAGATAAGTCAGCAAAAAGTGGGGGGGGGGGCAGTTAACATTGCTGGCCCCCCCACCTCCGAAAGTGGGGGGCCATGGCCCCCCGCCCCCCCCCCCCTGTTCCTACGTCTATGTTTGGACGCTATCGTAGCATTGAAACTTACATTTTATAAGCAATCTATAGTAGACTCAAGTGCTAGCATGCGGCGTCACTGATTACAAGTGAACGAGCTTGAGCACCACGGATTAGTTACAACAATGCATCATAGTAAACTCCATGCGTGACCGCCCATAAGTACGTTTCGCATAAGTACCAGCTTCAAGTCATGCGAGTCGCGAACAATCGCTTGGCAAGACAATTCAGCAAACGCGGCGGCGCGGCCGCGACGGCTCTTTTACGACCACCTGAAGCTATGCGGCACAGCATCCTTCCAGGCGCTCACAGTAGTGACATCTGTTGAGCGCGATAAGAGTTACGGCTTTCTGTCCGGCGGAACAGTATCATCCCAGGCGCCTACACTACCGCCATCTATCCACGGAACTGCGAAATGCGCTGCTCCGGCAAACGCACGGACCGAGTAGGTTGCACCGTGCTGCTTTCTGTCCGTTGTTGCTGTTGTGGTCTAGCCTCACTGTACGGACCATTTTGTTCGGACCTTCCGGGCAATTTTGCATAAGAGCATCGTCACAATGTTCATCGAATTATTTGACCACTCGTCACTCGAACCAATAGTAAAACGCCACCGCGATACAAACTGCAATTTAATGGTAAGCCTGAACGACCTAATACCCCACGTTCCAGTTAGTGACGCCGTCGCAATTTCGGAGCGGCGGGCCACCGACAGTGGGACTCACTCTGAGCCAGTGAATCCTCTCCCCATTTCACGCCAACCCTTGTGTCGGTTACGGGGAGGCCGCCACTCTGACTGCCCGTAAAGGGACCTCAGACCTCGTCCACGATCAAACGGTGACATTACGAGAGCCCTGCGTCCTGCTCAGTGCTTATTATACGCCCTTGACAGGTCTCTTGGCGAGTTTGCTCGTTAAATATGGTCTAGTTTGTTCAAAGTACACCCCTGCCGAGAGTAGGCTCAGAATGGCACTTATAATGATAAATCAAGCCTCAAGGCGACACCTTTCATGTTGTGTCCTCGCCTATAGCTAACGATACCCGTTCGTTTTGTCCGGCAGTTTCTACCTGTTCGCGCCGCTGTGCTACGGGATGACGGGCCCCCGGCCGCGGGAGGATGCCAACAGCACCTACCACGCGATCTGGTGGCTCGGCTCCTGGGACATCTGAGACGCAGCCACCGTGTAATAGGGGCGGTGCGTGCGCCGCGCCGCACCGCCCCCGGCCGGTCCGGTGTCGCCGCCGCGGCAGCGGTGACGGCCCAAGACAGTGTGACGTCAGCAGTGGGTGATATACGTCACAGACTGCCGGGGCATTAGGAGCCCGTGGTGTATTAACACATGTTACTTAAAGGAAATTATAATTTTGGTTGTCAATACTTTGACATTTCACGCTAAAAGCGAAGTCATAATGACTTCGAAGGACTCTTCATTATTTACGACCCATATTTGTGGCGTGCATCATTCTTGACAGGCACATAAATCCCCAGAGCCACTGGTGCTGGTATGCCATGGTGTATGTGTCTGCGTACCATCCACCGGCTGCGTTGCCGGGGAGGGGGGCGGGGCTCGCGCAGAACCGGCGCCGCGCCTGTGAGCCGCCGATAGGAGCTCCGGGTGGCGGGGGCCGCAGCCCGCAGCTGCGCCGTGTCACCGGCGGGTGAAGGCCGCACGCTAGGGCTGATCTATGGGCGGCCATAAATGAAATCGGTGCCAACTTGTTACTGATATGCCGCCGCTGCAGCAGTTGCAGATGGGAGGTGTGATTTACGGCGATTGACAAATTGCACCTTTTATTGTTATGAGGCGCAGTCAGTTTTTAACAGGATATAGGATCCTCGGGGTGAAAAAGTTTTTGAGAGATGCGAATTAGCGAGAATACGGTTCGTATTAAATCAAGGAACTGCTGGATGGGATAAAGAGATGGCAAGCTCGAAATATCGATGAAATTATCGCCACAATATTGTTATCGGGGCGTCGTTGTTATTGTGTGCTGTTACGTTTGTTATTCGTGGTTATCTTGATATGTAATGTGCACATCGTGTAGACTCTGTCGTCCATTCCGTCTTCGCCGTACAATACGGCACATGGTTTTCCATCGAGGTCTTCTACAATAAATAAAACAAAATATAAGTCGGACTCCCGTTTTGGACACAACGAGGCCTGGGCCGCCCATTCGAGGAAACGGCCTGACGAGTTCAATTTCCAGTTTCCGCTCGCCTTTCTCACCTTATCTCGAAGCCATTCTGCCTGTCTGGGCGATGGCGCTAGCGAGGTCCTCGAGCGGGTCGGCCATCAACTCAACAGAGCCACTGCATCTTCCCCTGTCCCTGTACACAGAGCGATCTACGCTTTACAACCGCACATAGCGGGCCACTTGTCACCAGAGACAGGCTCTTACTCTACCCATAACACACACCGTGTAAAAACATGCTGAGTTTATTCGATAGACATGGCTTTCCATACTGGTTATCACATGTGTGTCGGTTGGCCGACCACTCGGTCTCGTTGGCCGCGGGCGGTCACACGCCGGAATGTGGGTGTGCGGTGGTGCGGGGTCACCGGCGGGGTCACCGGACGGACCGGGCCGGGCCGGGCCGGTCCGTGGGGCGGTCAGTGGTCACACCACGGCGCGGTCGGCAGAGCCGTCATACCGACCAGGCAGCTGCCGCCAACGCCCATCCCGTGATTAGTAAACGAATATAATCTGGCTAGTAGGCTTAAAACCATCATGAAAATATATACCCTCTTACATAGAGAGCGATAGTATGTTTTAAACATAACAACCTCAACCTAACCCCATGCGTAATGAACGAATCCACCTAATAGGCAATCTTGAGTATGTTTTTTAAAGCGATGATTGAAATCCCCACAAATTCAGAGCACCGCTCAAGCACCGTTGAAGCTCATGGACATGCATCGATTCAAAACGACGTGATATGGCAATTTGACGATAACAGCTCATGCTACTAACAATAATGCAACGCACAACAATCGGGACAAACGATCAGCCCGCTATACGGCACTCTAACAGGTAACAACAGCCTCCACTGCCCGCCAACGAGAGGTCACTTCTGAAGGCACAGTGGTGAAACAGGACGCCAGCGGGCTCCTGGAAACCCAGCAGTGGACCCAGCCTGCAGCAATGAGTGAATCTGTGACGCATTTCCAATCAAAATCCCATCCAGAGGTGACAGAAAGAAGGCTCTACGCAGCGCGCAGCTGACTGACTTGTCTCATGTATCGGTCGTTTCCCGCTGTCGCTGAACACACGCTCCGGTGCCGGCGGCCGTCCTCAGTCGCCCAGAAGGCCCGACAGCGGGTCGAAGGTGGCCGGCTTCAGCTGCGGTTTGGCCGGCTCGGCAGAGACCCCGTGACTCGCCGGCGCCGCGGCGGACACGGCCCCTGGGTAGAGAGACGGAGGAGTGAGAGGGGCGGACGGCCGACACAGGCGTCCGATGGGTGCAGAAGGGGTTGGGCTCAGCTGACAGCTAGTCTCCAACGGTTACCGACAATGGGTAGGGTAATAGGGGCCGGGGAAGTACGACAAACACCTAGTGCGTGATCATTCAACACTTTGCACGATAGCATGTTGAAACTAAAATAAAATATTGTAAAATACTGTAAAAACAAAATATTGAAAAAAGCTGATAATTTTAACGGCTCATAACATGCATTAACGGCAGTCATAATCTTAACCTCACTGACGGCTAACCACGCACCACTCAACTCGTGTCTGGTGAGCAACACGCCACGCCGTGCCATTCGGCCGGAATGTCTGCAGCGCAGCAGGCACTTATTTTAAGAGGCCCCGCCGCCGGCGCCCGCTGCGCACCGGTCGGCGGCGTTCGAACGCAATATCGGCCGGCGATGAGACGACGCCCTCATAACGCCGGCCGGAGCATTTTATCGAGGCGCGTAATGGCATCAATGGACTCACGGTCACTGCGTCCGTACCAAATTGACAGCGCCCCGTCCGGCAGTAAATTCATCATGTCAAGAGCGACAAATACCATCGCCAGTGCCACATTTCATATCCATATTAAAGGTCCTGACTACTACTTACATCTGATGCTACGAATAGGTAGATAACTACTGTAGTTTGATTTCACCCTCTGCCCCTACACAGCACCGCTGAACTGACCAGCCGCGATGCACGGCCGACCGGCCGGCGCGCTCGGCCCGCAGTCGACCTGTTCGCCCTAATGACCGACCATCCGACCCTCCCTAGCTTCGTGACTCGGCCGGGCAGCGGCCCATTTCATAGCAGCGCCATCAATTCCGGCGCAACTCCGAAATAGAACCAAATGCTGTTTTAATCGGCCAACGATGTTTGGTCACGTCAATAAATGGTTCCTGCTCGTACAGAAATAGACTGGCGGTGCTGAGTGAAACATTCTGAAGCCCATAAGCCAGTAGCATCGAATAGGTGTTCCCAAACTATCGATCACTCCCCACGGACAGGACGTGAGGTAACCGGTACCATAATTAAATTCGCATTTCAGTGAACTGTGAAGTGCAACCAAAGCCGACCTTTCTTCACGTCTTACCAAAATAGTCAACAGCCAATTTCACAGACTTGCTAGCGAGCGTACGGGCAAACACACTGAAAGGGCATTCGACTTAAAACACTTTCAAGTACCTCTTGAACGAGCTTGCAATACCATACAAGCGAAACTCATTAAATTGACTTTTATGGATACCGCGGGGCACCACAACTGATGACCGAATAGGGAACATTGTCGATAACTTATCGCCTTTCACAGAAAAAGCGCTGTCGGTGGCAGACCCGATCCAATCTTCCTATTTATCAGTTTTATTTTCCAAAATTAGACTTTGTGGAGCTGGGAATTTGAACCTGCCCGTAAACAAGTTAAATGCGCTGGAGGTTTGGAACACACTTATCTGCCATCACCATTTCCCCAGAGGGCCTCTGTTTTAGCTGCCTTCACCGTCAGACACATTAAAGCCGAGGAAAGCACACAAGACACCACTCGATCAGCCCAGCTAATCTCGGGAACAAAATGAACAAAGTTTGAGCGCCAGCGACCAGGGTAAAATGCTGTAATAGAATGTCGGGATACGTTCCGACAGGCTGACATTCTCTAACTTAACATCGAAAACTAGGGACTACGGGCAGCGAGAGCCTGCGAGCCACCACGATGACACGTATGTGACCCACCGCGCAGCGACTGACCCCTGGCGGCACTCACCTGTACGGTTGGGGTGGTCCGCGTGCCGTGCTGCCTGGGTCGGCATCGCCTCGTCCTCCTCACTATCAGAGAACAGCCGCGCGCCCGCCCTGACCGGCGCCCGAGCCGCCGGGACCGTCTTAGCGTAGCTGAACAGATCGGCGTCATCGTCGTCATCCGAGAACAGACTGTCTGCCGGCGGGGCGCGGGCGGTCTTGGGGACAGCGGCGGTCGGTTTGGCTCTCCCGGAGCCCGTGACGGCGGACGAGGCGGATGTCTTGGCGGGCGGCTGGGCCCTGCTGGCGGCCGCCGCTGCCGCTGCCCTCTCCCAGCCCTCCTCCCGCTGACTGGCCGGCCGCGGCGCGTTCCTGGTGCTGCCAAACAGGTCATCATCGTCACTGTCCTCGGCTGGCGGCGGGACGGCGGGCCGGGCGGCGGCAGACGCGGAGGTCCGGACTGGAGTAGGGGCAGAGACCGGGGCGGCAGCCGGCGGCGGCGCCACGGCTGACACCGACAGCGGAGAACCGGCTACTTTGGGCGGCTCCACCGTCCGAACGGCGGCAGCTGCTGCAGCATTCGCTGCCGACTGGGGCTGCCGCGCGGGCGAGGAGCGCTTGTTGGTGGTGGGACTAGGGGTCACAGCCGGGCGGTTCTTGGCCGTCGAGAACAGATCATCTTCGTCGCTGTCGGAGCTGAACAACCCACGGCTCGGCTTCGTCTCCTTCCGCGAAGTGCGAGGCAGAACAACGCTCTTCGGAGTCTCCTTACCAGGCTGAGTCACTGGCCTGATTTCTCCGATATCCGAAGGCGATTTCGTCGGCTTCTTTTCTAAATTTTGAATATTCTTGCTTTTACCCAAGACTGAACTGAAAGCCTCAGACGTTGGTTTCGTCACAGCATTATTATTCACCGGCACTGCTTTGGTGGGGGCTGGTTTGGACCTCTTCGTTGATTTAAACAGATCGTCGTCACTGTCAGAGTCGAACAGAGAGCCGCCCGTTTTGCCGAGTGGAGCAGGCGGGCTGGCGGCGCCGGGCGCGACAGTCAGCGGCTCAGTATCAACAGCATCTTTCCCAGCAATGGCAGTGGCAGTCGCCGGGCTTTTCTGGTTCACTGGCTTCGATGAATTGACATCAGTGTTATCAGCCACGCCTGAAGTAGCGTCTTTCATTCTCGCAGTTGGATCGTTGGTCTCAGTATGTGTCACGGTTGCAGACATAGCTGACGCTCTGAGTGAGGGGCTCTTCTGGCCAGTGGCCGGTGTTTTCACGGCCGACTTCGGCTTCATCGTCTGGAAAAGGTCCTCTTCATCACTATCCGAGTCGAAAATACTGCGGCTCGATTTGGCAGCGGTGGAGGCCGCGGCGGCGGGGGGAATGGGGTCGGACTCGGAAACAACAGAGGTCTGGGGTGAGGGAGGAGCCGCGACAGAGGCGCTCTTAGTATCAGGTGTCGGGGGAGCGACGGCCGCCTCAGGGGACTTGTCATCAGCTGCCAGCTTCACTTCACTGAACACCGGTTCGTCAGCATCCAGCGCGGCGGTTTTGATGGCACAATGAGCCTCACTCGCAGGGACACCGCTCACAGCATCTCCAGAAGTCGACTCCTGCTGACTGGACGCTGGCAACGCCCCTTCCGTCTCCGCCTCTGACACAACACCAGAGCTGCCTCCGCCGTCTGTCCTCGTCTTGTCATGTCCTTTAGCCACATTAGCAGCGCTATGTTCGTCCTGAGCCGACCCAACGTCCCCGGGTGGCGATCTCCGACCCCCACCGGGTGACGGCCCGGTCTGGTCACCACTGACCGTGACCTCCGCACTGCGCTCCGGACTATCGGAGGACTGCGGGGGTTGTATGTCGGCGGGACTGTCGGTGTCACTGGGGCTGCCTGATGGGCTCGGTGTTTTCTCTTCATGCACCGCAACCTCCAGGGGAGATTTGTTCGTCACAGCCAGTGGTGGGTTCACCTTGGGGGCAGGACTCATATTCTCAGAAACAGGGGCTGCGCCAGGGACGTGAGCAGACTTGGGCTTGGATTTGACTGTTTGGAATAGGTCTTCTTCACTATCCGATTCGAAAACGCTGCGGCTGGTTTTAGAATGCTGACTTGGCGTGGGTGATTCTGCGGCGTTATTTTGTGTCACGGAATCGGATGGCATCTCAGCCTTCTCTTCAGTTGATCGCTGAACCTCGCTGGACGCTGATCCCTCATCCCCCGCTTTATGCGTGTCGGCGACTCGGCCCACGTTATCTTCTGAGCTCCTTTTGGCGTCTTGTTCCCGACTGGCAGGGGACAAAGTCGCGGACGACAATGTCTCCGTCGGCATGCTTTTTTGTTCAGCCGAAGGTGCTTTCGGAGCTTCGACAGGCTCCTTCACAGCCGGCTTTGACTTCTGCATGGTCTGAAACAGGTCTTCATCACTGTCAGAGTCGAAGATGCCATGACCTGGCTTGACAGGCCCCGGGGCGGCTGCTGACTTGACGGGCCCCGGCTCGGCTGCTGCTGTGACTGGTGCGGGCGAAGGAGGCTGAACTCCTGAGGTAGACCCCGTCTTGGGGACAGAGTGATTGTCATCCGCATGAGTCAGTGCCGTCGCCTCATCCCGCACTGTGACATTTTCCTCAGCTGACCTAGGCCTGTCGGCCTCACTTCCTCGTGTGTCGGCTTGGGTGCCTGCGAGTTCTTCTTTGGCCGTCGTTTTAACCCCACCTTCGCGCCTTCCCTCATCGTGCCTCATCTGAGCGCCTGCTGGGGTTCCCAGTGCCGAGACAGACGCGCCGGACGCACCAGTCGCCGACTGCGGGGCTGGGACCGAGTGGAATAAATCCTCCTCATCGCTGTCATCGAACAGACCGCCAGCTGGCGGCGGCGGCGCTGGCGGCAGCGTGGAGTCTTCCTCAGGCGGCATTTCCCTCGCTGAAGGATCAGAGATGACTGACGGCTGGGGCACGGGATGAGAGGATGAAGGCTTTGGTTTGAGCACAGGCTTGGGAGATGGAGAGAAGTCACTTTTGCTGGGTGCAGCGATAGAGGCAGTTTTAGAGGCAGTTTCTGTGGAACGCTCCCCATTCCTGGACAAGTCCTGCTCACTACCCGTCACCTCCTGACTGCCGCCAACCGCAACACTTTCCGGCTTGGCAGAGGATGGCGGTATAACGGCACTCTTCACCACTGTCTTCTGTGGTTCACCAGCCACCCGCGGTGCGCCGCTCGCGGCTGACGCATCCGTCACCCTCTGGGCCGGACGCGGAGCCGGCATGTGAAACAGATCCTCGTCACTGTCACTGTCAAACAGCGAGGCTGCCGCGCGGGCCGCCGGCGACGCTGAGGCCTTCCCGGGTGTTGGGGCGGGGGTCTGACCCGCCGGGGGAGGCGCGGCCGCCGGTCGGGCCGGCACAGACGGCCGGGCGAGGTCGGTGGGTGACGGCGCGGCGGGTGTCTCGGGCACCACTGGATGGACGGCAGTCGGCAGCGTCGTCCGATCCGACGCCACAGGAGTCTCTAGTACGGTAGAGCCAGTCCGGACAGAGTCAGCCACCACCGCCGGCGATATCGCGGTCTGGCTCCTTGCTGCTGACGGGTCCTCGGGGATTCCTCCCAGCGCGGTGCGCACGTCAGCGCTCCCCCGGTCGGGCGCCGTATCTTGCACAGGCGCTGTTCCACTCGTAGACGGACCGGGAGTCTCGGGCGACAGTGGCGGCCCTCCACTTCCATCCGTGCCATCGGCGGCATCGCTGCCCGTTCTCCGCGCCAGCCGGCCTCGTAGCTCGGCGTTGATCAGCCCGGGCAGCCGCTGACCGCCGGCCGGGGGTCTTCTGACCGCCGCCGCTGCCGCCGACGGCACCGGCCGGTCCTCAGGGGGCTCGTCGGCCGGAGCGGGCGACGTGACCGACTGGAACTGGCTGGACTCCGGCGGCAGAGACAGCCGGTTCGAACCGGGCTTTTTCCGACTGGGCCGACGCTTGACCGGTCCGCGCGGCCGCTCCTGCGGACAGAAAAGGTCAGAACAGTTAGACAACGGTCAGACAGGACAGTCGACGATCAGACAGAGAAGACGGCGGTCCAAGAGGGGAGTCGACGGTTGGGCGGGGCAGCCGGCAGACAGGGGAGATGCGGAGGTCAGACAGGGCGGGTGGTCAAATGAGAGAGCCAGGTCACAGCCAGAGGGCAGGTAGAGATCAGAGGGGACTGCCGGCGGCCAGCCGACACAGTGCCGCAATTAGGCACACCACTCGCAATTAGACACCTCGCCGCCGAGTACCGACAACGACGGAGACGGCAATTAGGCCGGCCGTAGTCGACTATCAAGGGCCGGGTTCAGCCTCTGAGGCCGGCGGTGCATTAGCAATAATGGCCTGGGGCAGGATCAAATCGCAATTAGAGTGCCCGGCGTTTGCAGATCCCGCTATTTAAACAACTGGTGGAGGTGCAGCTACGTGGAACTGGTGGTAGGTGATGCGTGAAATTCAGAGAAAAGGAATCTAACGAATAGTAGATCGGGTGTCCAAATCAACATGCAATTAGCATAGTTTGTTTGATACATTAAATTCGTTGGAGGATTGTGTTTATATTGAATACCTACGAGTTTATTGTACTAATTACTTTTTAGCTCGTTTTTTTCATTACCGACTTGGCATCGTATCAGCTTTAGTTAGACCAATAAACGTCACGATTAGCGATGTAAGCCCCTGTTTTGAGCGCCTAATAACATCGTTGATAGCAATGATAATGACCATTGAACATGGAGCTTACATTTATATTGCAGCTGCAGCTGTGCAATGTTAAACCGTCCCAAATGAAACGCAACAGCTGGCGAATATACTCGTACGAAAATCAATATCAGTAAGAACAATAACAGTGGCAGTAATAAGCCCGGTCCAGCAGCTCCGCGCTGCGGACCGTACCTACCTTTGTCAGCGACGGCAGGGTGTCGAGCGGGTCGGCCGGCCCCAGGTCGGCGGCAGTGTGTGTCGGAGGCGGAGAGCTGACCTCCGGCCGTCCCGTCGGCACGGACGCTGCCGACAAAACAAACACCCGAGGTCAACAGAGCGGCCCACGCAGCTGCGACACGGACCGACGACAACGCGTAGTAGATCGATCACCGCAGCAAACGGAGACATTGACTGGTGAGGTTAGGACAATGCAGTACTTCATGACGCTTTGATAGACTAGCAGAACGAAAGAACACTGGTATGTGCTGCTTGTGTAACAGCAGTGAAGGTCGCCTTTCGATTACAAAGTCTACATCTAGTCCGGCCGTTAGTCTGTGTCGCACCCACCTGGTCGGGTGTGGCGCTTCGGCTCCGGGCGGCGTCTGACGACCTCCGGTGGGGGCAGGCCGGCAGCCGCGGCGGCCGGACTCCTCACTGGACTCTGTGACGGACTCTCTGGTGGACTCCCCACCTCCCGGGCGCTGTCCGCCGGCGGGTGGGTGGTCGGACTGACGGGAGGACTCGGGGACAGCCGCGCCGTCGGTCCTGCCGCCCCGAACAGCGCCACGCCGCCCGCCGGGCCGGTGGAGCGCCGCCGAGCCGAGGAACCCAGCTGGTGTTCGATGGACGCAGCCAGCGCCGACAGGCCGGCAGAGACGGGCCGCGCGCCGGACGGTCCACCGCCGCTCCGACGGACCACGCCGGGGGAGTCGGGAGCGTCCGCCGCGGCCGGAGACGGCGCTCGGTCCTCAGAGGGGTCAGCGGTGGGTTCTACAGGAGGCGACACCGCGTCAGGCGAGATCGCAGAGCCCTTCACTGGGCCATGCTCATCCACCAGTTTTGTTTTGACAGAGCTATTAGGCGTTTCTTGAGCTTTCTCGTCGACCGGTGCTCGACTAGCTGGTTTCGTCACATTCGTCGACGCTGGCGCCGCTTTAGCGGAGGCAGCAGTACGGGAGGCCGCAGCAGGGTGGAACAGGTCGTCCTCATCACTGTCTGAGTCAAACAGGCTGGCGGATACGGCCTTCTTCGCCTTAGCCGCTGGGGCAGCAGCTGTCAGAGCAGCCTTTGAAGCAGCGGTCGCCGGCATAGCAGTAACATCCGCTGAGGGGGCCGCGGCTGGAACGGCAGGCGCCAGCGCTGGCGCTGGGGCTGGGACTGGTTCTGGTGCAGATAGTGGTGCTGGTGCCTGAGCTGCCGTCGGTGCTGGGGATGGCGTAGGCTCCACTGCTGGTGCTGGTACCGACGCCGCAGCTTTGGATTTCGCCGCAGGCGCCCGTCCCGTCGACGCCGAGCTGGCGAAGAGGTCCTCCTCTGAACTGGACAAAAACAGACTGCTCACTGGAGGTTTGGCCTCCTGTGCCGCTGGTTTCTCTGGCGGTTTGGCCGCGGCCGCTGGGATGGTCGGCGCTGCCACGGTTGCCGCGCTGACCGTAGGCGCAGATGAACCAGGGGCAGTCGGACCCATCGCGCGGACATTCTCTACACCGGTGCTGAGCAGCGGCGGCCGGGCGGTGGCAGTCGCGACACCGCTGCTCCGGACCGGCGGCGGGGAGTCGGCGAGAGGATCGGCCCTCCTCCCCACGTCCTGGGCCCTCGGCGGTGTCTTCGCTCGACCAGGAGCCACCAGTGAGAAAATGTCGTCATCCGAGTCACTATCGAACAGACCTTTCGGAGGGGGTTTCGCGGCGCCTGGAGCGGCAGTCGAAGCGATAGGAGTGGCAGCGGTAGGACCAGAGGCAGGTTTTCTGACCGCCGCGGCAGTTTTGGCGGCAGCCTCGCTCGCTTTGGCCGCCGCATGGAACATATCCTCGTCATCACTGCTGGAAAACAGGCTGGCCGAGGGTTTCGCCGCCGCGGCGCCACTCCTCTGCGCCGGCTGGGCGGCTGCGGTTCTCGCCGGGGCCGGCGCGGGGGAGTGTGAGGCGGCCGGTGCCGACCTCCCCGGCTGCCGACCGGCTGGAGCCGCCGCGGTCCGTCCCCCAAACAGGTCCTCCTCGTCGTCTGACACCGGCACCGTCGAGCGCTCAGAGTTGATCGGCCGCGCGTGCAGCCTGGAACACAGCGGAGAGACGCGTTAACTCCGGTCCGTGGTCCGTGACGATGACGGCAACTGGATTTACGCACCAGTAAAACGCCTTTTGGGCGAAGGACGAGCGAGCGAGATAGTGAGCCCTGCACGTGCAGAAGGGCGAGAGGGTACTTCCAACAGGCTTGTGCAAAGCACCCTTCTAACCGGTCGCTAGCGGTGTGCCAAGTTTGAACGCAATCGGCCCAGCCGTTCCTGAGATCTGGAAGCGGCATTCTGCACGTGCGCACGTGCAAACGGGGTCCAAACTGACTTTTGCGCGGCACCCTACTAATCGGTCCCCAACCGTGTACCAAATTTGAGCGCAATCGGCCCAGCCGTTCTCGAGATCTGGAAACGCCCCCTGCACGTGCGCACGTGCAGTAGCACCCTAACCGCAACACATGGGAATGCATGGCCTGGTGGGTGCCTACCTGTATGCCAAGTTTTAGCGAAATCACCCCAGTAATTACCGAGTTATTAAAATGGGAACAAATTTGGCACCTCTTCTTTTTGTATTTTGCACGTGCAGTGGGGGTCACTCATCAAGAGTATCCGAGCTTTGGTAGAAGGGATGCAGCTACCATACAAAAATTACCGCAAGACAATCGCCCAAGCGGCTGCTCAGATATGAGCCTCTCAAAATCACTACTTTTGGAAAACTGCTTGAACACCCTTGACTTTTCACGTGGCACGTGCCACGACGGTCACTGAGATGTTTTAAAAGTAGTCAATTACGGGGTAGAAGGGATGGGGCTACCCAACAAAAAAGACCGCAGGCCAATTGGTTCAGCGGTTGCTGAGATATAAGCCTCTCAAAAGCGTTACAGGCCGGGCCGGGCCGGGCCGGGCCGCTCATACTGAGATTTTTCCGTTATATTGAAAAGACTCACTTCGCTCGCTGCGCTCGCTCGCTCGTAATCAGCTTATACGCCCACTCAGTGTATTACAGAAATTACCGAATCTTTCGACAGGTCTCGCACACATTATCGTCCATATCATTAGCTTAATTATCAAGTACAGTAATATCAGTTAGTACGTCGCGTGGTTCGAACACCTACCTCCTCCATGCAGTGCCGATCCCAGGCCGGGTGGTGGGCATTCCAGTCCCCCAACAGTAGGGAGTCTGGGTTGGTGGGGAGGGCCGACGGGTCGAAGTAGTCGGACCTCTGGTCTTCTTCGCCAGGTCGGATTGGCGGCCGGTAGAAATTGTGGATGTCCAGGGTTGGCGCAGGACTGCTGCTCTTCAGGGCAGAGTTGCTGAGGTACAGGCGGATGCCGCACCACTCGGTAGTCGTGTCCGCCATGGCCAGGGGGGCGGTCTCCAGCTTGTCAAAGTTGAGACCCTTGCGGACGTAGATCGCTACGTCGCCCCCCTTGGCCGGGCCTGAGTTCCTCCGCCCCCGTGCCCTTCGGCGCACGGCCGCCGTCTGGAACCCCGGGATCTCGGTGAGAGATGAGGCGCTGAACTGTGCCTCTTGAACCGCGATGACGTCGATTTTCGACTCCGATAGCCAGCCTTGGAGCTCTGTCAACTTGCGACGTAGTCCCTCGGCGTTCCAGCAGGCGATCTGCAGGCGGCTTCGAGTCTTGAGGTTGGCGCGGTATCGGCGGTTCTTGGCTCTCCTGCTTCGACCCCGGGAGCTCCTTCCGGCGGACGTCGCCGCACCCCCGCCGCCGGCACTAGCGGCGGGGGGCGCCGACTCACTCATTCAGCGCAGGCCGGCGCCGCTGCGGACAGCCTCCAGGCGGCATGCCCTCGCGCGGCACCGGCCCGCTGAGCGTGCACCAAGTGTGCGGGTCGACGTGCAGATGGCGTAGGGACGACGGCGCGGTGGAGCGTCGGCCGCCGGCGCCCGGCCCCGAGAGGGCGGGCTGGGACCCGATTGGCTTCCCCCGCCGCTCTCCACGGCGGGGGCGGGGACGAGCCCCACGGAGTCCACCACGTGAAGGTGGGTCCCTCCAGACTCCTGATGAGGCGGAGCAGATGCTCCGCCTCAAGCTCCTCCGCCTGGGGGTGCCCAAGTGCATGTCCGCATGGATATGGGCGTTTCTCCGGGACAGGAGAGCTGCGGTCGAGGTCAACGGCGCCCGAGGAGGCGAGCGCCCGTTCCGGGCCGGACTCCCGCAAGGCAGTGTTCTGGCCCCAACGCTTTACACGCTGTGGTCGGCCGACCTGATCACGGCGCTCAAGACCGTGCCAGGCACAGACATCTTCATGTATGCCGACGACACGGCGACGCTCAGCAGCGGCGCCTCCGTCGAAGAGGCCGGCCGCCGAGCCCAGCGAGCTGCGGACATCATCGCCAGCTGGGCATCAAGATGGAAAATGCGGGTCGCCGGCGAGAAAACACAGGCCCTCGTCCTATCCCAATGGGCCCGCGACGCGTCGAGCTTGAGCATCAAGGTGTCTGGCGCCGTGGTGACTGCCGGCCCCTCCCTCAGACTCCTGGGCGTGACCTTTGACCGCCTCCTTCACTTCGGCGCCCACTGTGCCGAGCTGCGCAAGAAGGTCCGCCCCCGTGTCGCCCAGCTGCGACGCATGACCGGGAGGAGCTGGGGACTGGGCGAACGCCAATTGAGGTCGGTGGCCAACGGGTACATCAGGGGGGCCTTAGAGTACGCGGCGGGGGCGTGGATGCCTGCGGCCTCCGCTTCACACCTGGAGCTGGTCGACAGGGAGCTGCGGGCGGCGGCCCGGGTGATAACCGGCTGCCCCGCCTCAACACCCGCCTTCGCCCTGCTGTCGGAGGCGGGCATGCCCGCCGCATGCACGCGCCGCTCGGTGGTGGCAGCCAGGCTACTGGGCCTGGCGATGTCCCTGCCAGAGGGCGACCCTCTCCGAGCCCTGGCGGAGTCGACCCCGCCGCGCCGCCTCAAGACGACGACCGGATGGAGGGACCGCGGTCGCGAGGCCCTAGCACGGGTCTGCCGCGGCGGCGCGCCGCTGACCTTTGAAGCGCGGCTAGCAACCGCCGGGCCGCCGTGGCGCGATGTCCCCGGTGTGACCATCGTCCTGGAGGTGGGTCCCGGGGGACGCCGCGACTGCCACCCGGACACAAGACGAGAGGCAGCGGAGAGCCGTCTGGCGGAGCTTCCGGCCGAGGCGACCTGGATATGGTCAGACGGCTCCGCCGCGGATGGGGTGCTGAATGGAGGAGGAGGAGCCACCATCATTTCCCCGAACGGCGACATCAGGGAGGTGCGTGTCGCGGCAGGCGCCCTCTGCTCCAGCACCCGCGCGGAGCTATTCGCCCTGAGAGCGGCGCTGGAGGAGCTCCTGAACATGGATGGCCGTGACACCTCCCTTCCGACTGTCGTCTGTACCGACTCGATGGCGGCGCTGGCCCTCCTGCGGAGCGGCCCGGCGGCCCAGAGGACTCCGCTGGCCGCAGATATATGGAGGCTGCTGGCCGCGCTCACCGAGGGGGGCCAGCCAGTAACCATGCAGTGGGTCCCTGCACACTGCGGGCTCCCCGGTAATGAGCGAGCGGACGCCCTCGCCCGCGAGGCCAGCGCCCTACCCCAACATGACACTCCGATCGACGGTGGCACGATATGCAAGGCCGTTGCACGAGACGCTGCGCGCGCCTGGCAGCAGAGCTGGCCGGACGGCTGGTACCGGGCGATATGGGCCGACCGCCGTCCCGGCCCCGTCCTGGAGGCCGACCGTGCCGTCGCGGTTGATATTCACCAGCTCCGAGCAGGACACTGGAGCGGCTCGGCGCAGTACCTGCACCGCATCGGCCGCCGTCCCGAGGCCGACTGCCCGCAGTGCAATGACATGGGCTGCCCTGCTGCACGATGCCGCGTCTGCCGCGAGGAGGCGGACACTCCACGACACGTCCTGCTCCGATGCCCGGCGCTGGCGGGACGCCGCCTGCGGCGCCTGGGTAATATTCACCTGGAAGCGTCTATGGCAAGGGACGACGGCGCGGTGGCGGCCTTGGCCGCCGGCTACCGCGCCCAATTGAGCCTCATCGGCTACGCCCCCTAGGGGGCTGGAGGGAACAACAACAACAACAACAACAACAACAACAACACCTACCTGGGTCCCCGTCGCTTCTGTCGGCCCGCGGCGGTGGCGGCGGCCGGCCGGTCGTCCTCGTCAGAGGAGCTGCTGTTATCCTCCCTCCGACGGGGGGCGGAGAACGGATCCAGGCCGCCGAACATCGCCACGGCGCCGGCCGGCAGCTGACGGGGAGGGGAGGTCAGAGATGGGAGGGACGCCGCACGGAGCGAACAGACTAGATCCACCAACTGAAGACATAAATAATAATATAAGATACGTGTTAGTCCAATAACAAACAATGTTATCGAATGATAGTACTGAAAACGAGTAATAATTATCCAATTAAGTGCCACTGCATGTTTACAACGCACAAGTATTTCAATGAGTATTTACCAACAACCTACGAAGCCCAGTTGATAGGGCCAAATCAGCTTCTCGTTTACTTTCATACAGTCAGCGATTTCTGCCTCTCGTGTGTAAATGTGTATCATGCTAAAGTAAATACAGAACGGCGTCCCTCGGCAGACCTTACCCTTCGTGTTGGAGTGGGCGGCTGCGCGGCAGCAGCAGCGGGAGCCGGAGCGGGATCCTCCCCGCCGGGGCTGGAGCCGTCGGAGCCGAGGTCGTCTGAAACCCGACACCACGGCTCATTAGCTGTCGTCGAACAGGTCGCACAGAGGTGTATCATCTTACACCTCGGGGCGAAATACACCGTAAGAACGTTCACGTAATGGTGAAAAATGGTCAGACGCGGGACAAGAGCGGATCAGGTAACGTACCGCTAATGACTGTCAGAGATAGGTCAGAGAAGTGTCCTGAAACAGAATGCCATATGTCAGAAGTCAGAACCAGAAGTTATGAGCCATCGGCAAAAGTCTCAGCAGTCGGACGCATGCTGTGCACATTCTGCAACTGCACAATGATGTGTGGCCGGTGACGGTCAGTCCATTATCGCCAGGCCGTGAACGCCAGACGAGTGACTGCCATGAACCAGCCGGGTAAAGCAGCGAGCTGCTCACGATCCGAGTTGCCAACATACGGTGGAGGTTGTGTTGTTATTAGACCTACATGAGGTGAGCCTAGCTGTCGGTGAGCCAGTCATGAATGCCACAGCATCTAGGATACAAGCCAAGTCCAACAACGAGACGCTCTTCTATTGACACGTAGGCGCTACCATTCGCGATCGACATAGATAATTGGAAAGATATGGATCCAATGTGCCGCGAGGCTGCGGGAACTTTTGCACATGAATCACATCGAGTCGTCCACAGCGCTCGACGCTCGCAGCGGACAGAGTCCGTGCGGCTCAAGTTCAGTCATAATGCCTCGGGTTTTAGGAAGTCAGCCAAACAAAACGCCCCAGACGGAAATATATCAGCCAAACAAGTCTGGCACTCGTCATAACTAGCGGCTCGCGTAGCACACTTGAAACTTCTGCGATGCATCAAAACAATCAGACGACTTCGAGCACCGCAGATCTGATTTTGATAGCCGATACCACAGCCTGCAGCAAATGTCTGTGTCGATAAGCATTTAGGCAACATGATTCTCTTGCGACACATTTGATGCTAATAAGATGGTTATGGATTGGGGACGTCGTCCCTGGGGATATTATACCCCGCCCTCCCCGTGTCTGTACTCACCGGGCGGGGGCTGCTCGGACCGCTCCCCCCCCCCCCTGCCGTCTGCCCTCCCCCCTCCCCGTGTCTGTACTCACCGGGCGGGGGCTGGTCGGACCGCTCCACGCCCTGCCGTCTGCCCTCCTCTCCCCCCCCCCCCCCTCCCCCCGTGTCTGTACTCACCGGGCGGGGTCTGGTCGGGCCGCTCCATCCCCTGACGTCTGTCCTCCTCCCCCCGCCCTCCCCGTGTCTGTACTCACCGGGCGGGGTCTGCTCGGACCGCTCCACGCCCTGACGTCTGGTCTCCCCTCCCGCTGCTGCCGGGGCGGCCGGTCCAGCCCACAGGCCGGCCGCTGCCGCCGGTCGGCCGGCACCAAACAGCTCCCCGTCACCGGCCTCCGAGCCCGAGTCCGACTCCGGCGCGAACAGGTCTCCTGGGCGGGGGAGGGTGGTGTTTACATGACAGTCACGGCAGTGGTGGGGAGGGGCGGTATGGGTGGCCGGGCAGCTTAGATTGGATGACGGACAGAATGGACAATCATGCGCCGGGGGCATTCCGCAAAACAACGAAATAACCATCGACACCGCATCAGATACACTTCTTTCAGAGTGAACGTAGACATACTGAAGGAATATAAACCTTATTTTGTGTATTTTACTTCTAGTGATCACGTCACCGTCTGCATATGGTCGCTTAATTAATTACAAACGCAGAAAATATTACCACCGTTAACTGGGGTAACAACATCTTATTGCCAGATAGGACAGATACCGCCATGGCGTTCCCCACTACTCCAGCGCCGTACCTTCTAAGGGCGCTCGGGCGCGTGTCTGTCTCCGCGGCGGCTCCTCCCGTTCGAGGGATTTCGCCTTCTGACCGGCAACACCTGGCGCCGTCTGTCGGCGACAAACGGAACCTCACGTCACATCAGACATACGGAACATCGAATGGGTCTGGGGCTTTATATCAACTACGTCAGCTCTTACCAGCGGTTGCTATGCTGTGAGGCATTGTAGTCTAAGGAACTACCAAAACACACTCCCCAAGACTGGGAGGTGCTATTTTCTCTCCATCAATCATCTTTGAAAATTCATGAAAAAACAGCAGATGCATCGTCGGTAAGTTAGTGGTGACAAGAGCAATCACCCATGAACAATTCATCAGTGATCCATATTCTCGGGCCCTCGTCTCGCTGCCAGCGCCCACCTGTGTCCCCGGGTCGAACATGTCGCCGCTCGAGTCGCTCCAGGCGTCGTCGGCCGGCGGATGGGCGGCCGCCCGGGCGGGGGCCGGGACGGGGGCGGCGGGAGCGGGGGCGGCGGGGACGAACACGTCTCCAGTGTCGCCAGTGCCGTCCAGCAGATCGCCAGTCGTTTCCTGTGGAATGGAGCAGCGTTAGTCGCTGGCTTATTATGACACATCACTGATTCGGCGGTAACTTGCAAAGAAACGCGACACTTCACCGGCATAACAGCGAAAAATCTTTTTACACATCCTCGACAGCCTGGCACTGTAGGCACCGAAAGACACCGACTTCACGTCACTCCTGGCCTGTCAGAGGTCTCTCCCCTGGTCCGTGAGATCGTCTCTTACCTCGTCTGTGAGGCCTCATAACTGCTCTGTGACGTCGTCTCTCACCTGGTCTGTGAGGTCGTATCTTACCTGGTCTGTGACGTCTCTCACTGTGAGCTCACATCTCACTTGGTCGGTAAAGTGAGCTCGTCTCTCACCTGGTCATTGATGTCGTATATCACCTGGTCCGTGAAGTCGTCTCTAACCTGGTCTGCAGGACCATCCGTGATGTAGCCTCTCAAGTTCAACTAGTCTGTGAGGTCTCTAACCTGTAGGACCGCCTCTCACCTGGTCCGTGAGGTCGCCTCTCACCGGGTCTGTGAGGTGGCCTCTCACCTGGTCCGTGAGGTGGCCTCGCACCTGGTCCGTGAGGTGGCCTCTCACCTGGTCTGTAGGACCGCCTCTCACCTGGTCTGTGAGGTCGCCTCTCACCTGGTCTGTGAGCTCGCCTCTCACCCGGTCTGTGAGGTGGCCTCTCACCTGGTCTGTGAGCTCGCCTCTCACCTGGTCTGTGAGGTCGTCTCTCACCTGGTCCGTGAGGTCGTCCTCGGTGTCTGCCGGCGGCGGGCCCCCGCCCAGCTGTAGACCCACAGAGTCGTCGTCGGCGAACTGACGGCTGCCGATGATGTAGGGCAGCGGCCGGTGCAGGTACGGATCTACCGGCTCCACGGCCAGCGGCAGGCTGACAATGGGGAGGGGGGAGGGGGTCAGAGCGACCGATATAGGTACGGGTCTACCGGTTCTACCGCCAGCGGCAGGCTGACAATAAAGGGTATCAGAGTTATACAGCAGCCGATGCAGGTACCGGTCCACCGGCTCCACGGCCAGCGGCAGGCTGACAATAAAGGGGATCAGAGTTACAGAGTGGCCGCTTCATCCGCAGGTACGGGTCCACCGGTTCTACCGACAGCGGCAGGCTGACAATGGGGAGGGGGAGGGGGTCAAAACGGCCGGTGTATGTTAGAATTCTACCAAATCCACTCCCTTTTTCAGTTCACTCTTGGTTTAAACTCCATGCTTGACATTAAATTCACAACATGACAACTACCACAAATAACCTAGCCCACGTTTTCAGGTCCTGTTTCCCGGAGCTCGCATTGTCCGTCCTGTCGCTGGACTCTCCCGTGCTATCAGCTCGGACCCACCTGTCGCTCGAGTCTCCGTCACTGTCAGAGTCCGAGACCTCCAGACGCTCGTAGGCCCGGTCCACCAGCTCCCCGCCTAGGGCCAACGCCTCACACAGGCGACTGTGGGTCTCCTTCTGAGCGTCCTCCTTCGAGACGGTCTGACGACGATTAGCGGCGTTAGTCTTTTCAACGGTTAGGAAGGACGACAACGATACGTCACTCATGACTATTCTGTGTAGATTTAACTTCGATATAGTATAGGCACTGACAACACAGTTGTGAGTACATTCGAGCTGTTTTGCTTGTTTGCGTTTAGGAGCGAGTTTTGCATTGGCCAGTCGACGGCGAGGTAATTACGCGTACTGCGACCATATGATCCGTCAAATGTCAGAGGACCATGCCACGCTCTTCCAGCACCGCAGCCAGAACCAGACAACCAGTTCAGTGGTAACGTCCTCACCGGCGATCCCCGGACCCACCTGTTTCTCCGGCGCCGCCGCCGCCGCCACCGTCTCGGCACTGTCGTCCTCGTAAACCCGCGACTCGACAAAGCGGCTGTTGGAGACCAGCATCAGCTGCGTGGCGGCCGTCTGCACTCTGCACTGGGCGTCGGCCGAGTCAGCCAGCAGGCCGGCCAGCTCGGCCTTCACCTCCTCCGCCCGCGAGCACAGCCGCTGAGCGTACAGAGACGTGGTCAGAGCGTCAGAGCCGCTGAGCGCACAGAGACGTGGTCAGAGCGTCAGAGCCGCTGAGCGCACAGAGACGTGGTCAGAGCATCAGAGCTGCTGAGCGCACAGACACGTGGTCAGAGCGTCGTCAGAGCCGCTGAGCGCACAGAGACGTGGTCAGAGATGGAGGGTGGAGAACAGTTACTCTGCTATTGGGGAAGTCATAAAAGGAGAATCAGACACATATAAGGGGGCAGGATATTGTGTGTGATATGCAACTGATAAGTATAGTTGTCTAATAGTTAATACGCTCATGATCAAATGCTCTGAGCATTAGCGTCGCCACGGGGGGGCAAGCGGGGCAGCTTGCCCCCCCAACCTCGGACCGGGCACCCCCTGAGATCGATACAGATCCGATGAGATTTTGGAGTCGGGAAAAAATGGGGGTACCTTTCTGAGAATGTCTGTGAGGTCAGACTCGGTTGGAGCGTGCAGTTTAAACCAGAGTCTGACTCGCAGTCGCCAAAATCTTGAAGACTCCGAGTCCAGACTCGGAAATGTCAATGCTGTGATTCATTCCATGTTCCTAGTTCGTTCTTTATTACATTTTACAGCTGATTTTCATAAGTTTTGGAGTGCTGACAATTTTCGTTCAAAGCGTGAAACGAAATCTTTGAGGCCTTTCTCAACTCTCGTCAAATGTCTGCGAAAGGCTCAAGTACCGTACAAGTGTCGCAGGGCTCATGAGCTTGCTTTAAACAAAGGCTCCTAAGGAGCTCCACTGAGCCCTAAAGAAGCTTTCAGAGGGTCCAAACGGGCCTCTGAAAGTCCCATTGGTGTCCATGCCATGTTCTCTGAGGGCCCATACAGCCTACAGGGATCTTTGAGCCTTCGAACATTTCTGAGAACCTTAACTGGCCTCTGATAGTTCAGCCAAACTTTTGACGCGACAGACTTTGCTAACCCCAAGCCGCATCTGAGGGGTCACAGCTCACGTGTCCCTCTGAGGTCCGCAACACATGTTTGTTATGTCCCTACGTAAGGTCCTTAGGGATTCGACACAGACCCCGAGGGTTCACACTGTTATCCGAGGGCTCCAGGCTCACCCTGGGCCTAGTCTCTTAGCGCCCGCCGCCCACACTGGCTTCTGAGGGCCCCACCTTGTGCTCGGAAAGCCTTAAAGCACCACGTACACGTAAATATTTGAGGTGACCCACGCCGATCTCCGGGATCCTAAGCATGCTTCTGAGAGTCAGCACTGACCCTGAGTGGCCTGAAATGGCCTGGAAGTCCCAAACCTATCTCTAAGGGATCCCTTGCCGCTATGCCGTGCGTAACTTTTGGTTCCGTTTAACAGTTTTTGTTCGCGTTTGCAACGCTTCCCTTCACACGAAAAACGAGATACTTTTGTTCACACTCGAGTGAACAAAACACTTCCTCTCACTTGAGCAAAGATGAATTACTTCCGATTCACACTTGACACTTCCGACATTCACTCTCCGCCGAATGCCCAACTTAGCTACGATCGGTGGCTGGGATAAGTCCTATGCATTTCACGTAAAACCTCTGCATGCATGCGTGAATGGAGATTTTAGCAGGGTGATCCGATTAAATGGAGCGTTTTTCACTTTTTCTGGGTAATGATCATGAGCGTCGAGCGTCTACACAGCAGTGTAGACGTCTCTGCAGTGCGTCGGCAATCGCAGCCACTATATACTACAATTCTGCCAGTCGTTTTTGTCATGAAATTTCGAAATTTCGAATTTTTCTGTTAAAAAATTACATGTCATAGCTAGAAGAACACCTTTGTCACCATCGGATTCCTCGCACCATTGCGCGTCGAATGATATGTAAAACGAGTGAGTAAAGACTGGGGAAAGGCAAGTTTTAACACAAAAGTTGATTTTGCCCCCCCAACCGAAAATCTCTGGCGACGCCTATGGCTCTGAGCCTGAGGTACCAGACAAACATGTACTCTACAGCCTGCCACAGGTGCAGGGCCAAAAGATCCAAAGGGTTATGAAATATTCAACCATTCAACCATCTCATTTAAATGAAAACAAAGTTAACTGAATAGATGCTTATATTAAATAAAAATAAACAGAGAAAATTGTAAGTAGTTCAAATGATACTGACCTCTGAGAATGATTGCAAGGTGGCCAGAAGGCCCACATCTGAGGCCAAGTTCCAGTCATTGGCCCTTTCTCTAATCTGGTCGGTTGTCAGCGGTTTGTCTCCACTGACTGGAGGACTGGCCATGGCCAGTTCTGCTCCTGATCACACAATCTGTGCCTCAACAGGGGCGTAGCAGCTGAAAATGAAACACTGACAGTTAGCTATATGGTCTCTTCCCTTTTGATCCACTCATAGTTAAGTGATCTGTGATATTGATATTTATTGAATTAAATTCATATGCTCTTCTTGGAACTAATTTGAATTAAGGTGCAATGCTCCAATCCTACCTGCAGCAAATATTGGTTGGAAGGTACCTATAGTAGGAATAATTTTTTAAGCTTGCCCGATCGTTTAGGTGCACAAATGAATACAGCACAGGACGAGCAATAGGAGTGAACCAGTTGGGCAAACTAGACCTTTGGAATCAAAATATGGAGGCATCAAAAGATTGATTCCTTATGACCATATTTGGGCATAAATGCAGACCATTTATAACTCAATACTTTAACCCCAAGCCACGTGAATGCATCATCTTACTCTTGATTTCACTAATTATTTTTGACTTTCTGTTCCAGTTGGGCAAACTAATAATGCTCACGGCACACTGCGTATATAGGGGACGTGCGCCTCCTCGAATCTGTTCAACGCCGTTGGACTAAAAAGATCTTAGGCATGGGAGAGCTTGATTATAAATCCCGGCTTAGGGCTCTGAACCAGTACTCGGTCCAGGGCAGACTTCTACGTGCCGATCTGATTCAATATTGGAAGATTTTCCACGCAAAGTGTTGTATAGATGCCACTACCATGTTCGAACTTGATCCCTCGTCTAGTACCAGAGGCCACATGTTCAAAATCCGCCACACTCGAGCACAAACTGATGTCAGGACCAGGTCCTTCAGCAAGCGTTGTATCACCGCTTGGAACGCACTCCCTGACCAGGTCGTAGGTGAATCCGACCTGAGCAGGTTCAAGGCCATGTTGGCTGACTCGATGGGTGATGCCTTGTTCTCTTATCATATGTGATGGCTATTGCGTTGACCTGTTTCCCCTAATTTGTGTTTGCATTATTGTATACGATCTTTTATTGTATGTATCATGAAACTATAGCAAAATTCGTGTTTGTCACTATGCAGGCTCTTGTTCCCGGCTTGGCAGCACCCCCTTGTGGTGTCTCCGCCGGGCGAGCCCTACGTTCGCGGGTTCCTTCCTCACGTATCCTATGCACATCCTCTATGCTGTACTCTGGAAGGCAGGGAACCCCCAACAGGTGAGTTGAACAGGTGAGTTACCAATCACGTAAAAATAAGAGAGTGATTCAAGACAGAGCATGCCTGATCTTGAACAGAAATGCTGGAACTATCTCCTAAGCAAAATAATATTGCTCCTATCATAACAATTTGAATTCTATAGGTAGTGAAAGGCAATCAAGGAATTGATTCACTTTAAACAGATAATCATAATATTGATTCCCCATCAGCTGGCTAATCATTATTTTGATTCACAGGTAATGTTAAGAGATAGGCAACAATGACCTGCAGGATTACATCATTTATCTTGCTACTATTCTCATTTAGTGGTATCCTCAGCACCACAACAGATACCTATAGCATTGCTGTAGTTAACCTTCTCTACATTTGATAACAATTTATTTTTAAATGTCAAGAATACAAAAACTGAAGCAACAGGTAAAAACCATATAATAAATAAAAAAGCACTACAACAATGATAATAAGGGGTTTGAAAATTTCATTTTGCCATTTCACACAATTACTGATTGTTTAGTATGCCATTCATGATACAAAAATAACATACAGTGTGATTTCCTCAAAACAGCTTTTACGTGATGGACAGTGGCTCTGTCTTTTCCCATTCACAAGGCCAAAGGGACAATTTCTTAGTTTTGAGGTAACACTTTTTGGAAAGCTACCACATTTTTCTACCTTTTTAAAGAAAAATCTTACCGTCATGGGCCTTTTTTCAACCGTAACGATACATTTGAAGTCAAAAGTGTACCCAAATGAATCAAAAAATTGATTCCATGCCCATATTTGGTCATGGCTCCTCCCACCAGAATCAAATTATTGATGCCTCCATATTTTGATTCCAAAAGCCTAGTTTGCCCAACTGGAACAGAAAGTCAAAAATAATTAGTGAAATCAAGAGTAAGATGATGCATTCACGTGGCTTGGGGTTAAAGTATTGAGGCTTCAGTGCACTTTTCATTTAAGCTCTTTAAGCCAACTTAAAGCGATTCCAGGCTTAAAAATCCGACTATTCCTATGAGACACTAGAATCAGAATCCCCCCAAAATGGCTAGCCTTCAACCTCCAGAAATGGGAGTGGTTTTCTACAATTGCACGGATGTAACCACTAATTTCACGCTTATATATAGCATAATTTGGATATACCCCGACAAACCAATCGAAGAAATCGGAAATCCAACCAACACATCAACCGATCAACGGTAATCAGCAAATGATCAGCAAATAATGCATGATGCAGATACAGTGCTATCTGCTAAATGTTTCGTAATTTGACAAAAGTATGGAAATGACGTCAATAATTACTTTGCATTGATCAGTATCTTGAGCAAATAAAGATGGTTTAAACAGTCAAAAACTACTTGCTATCGATCAATCCCCTGTAAATCATAAAATCTTTTTTACTTATCAATATTTAATCCAAGAAAGCACCAAACTGTCTTTTCATAAGCGCCCAACGCATTTTGATTTGTCCTTGAGTATTGACGTCACTAGCTTTATCATTTGCTGTCAGTTGTCTTCATTGGAATCTCCACTGTCAAATTGAGGCTACCTTGACTGCCAGTGATTTGTCAACAATTGAAAGTTTGATGTTTATATTTGGTACATGTAGAACTTTGAGAATCATAGCCGGTCTGTGTCAATCGTGTTTGATCAATATGCAGTTAGACTGATGAATGACATGATTCGGAAATCCAGTAGTCTTTATCTGAAGCTCCTGCAGCTCTGCGCCGTAAACGTCATAGCTGCGTCGCAGAAGGCATGCCGGCTAAATTTAACTATGAAATGCTTTGAAAATCATCAAATCCTTAATCGTTCCATCATTTCCATCTTCAGGACAGTCATATTGAAGGCCCTGTACACCAGGTCAGATCCTTTACTATACGTTGAAACCTCCGGTCCTCCTGTTCGGGTATGGATGGGCAATAATCCCATGCCACATGCGGGAAGCACCACTGAGTCCTGACCCTTAGGAGCAGTTGCACATGATTCATGGTTCATAATTATTGTTGCTGTAGCTCTAAGCAGTAGAGTTTTCCAGGGTTATAAGAGATACGTGTGGATTTATTTGCCTCGCACTTGTAGGGGGTCAGTCAGACTCAGATGGTCGATGGTCGATGGACCCCGCTTGCTTTTTGCAAATAACTTGTGCTTAAAGTGGATGATCTACCCTCGAGTTGATTAATTTTACACCTACCCTGAAAATTTTATGAACCTGACCTAAATGACCTTTGACCTTTCACCTTTTTCTCAAGAGCATGTTTGGCCAGAATCGCAATTCTGAATGTGAGCTTACATTATCTGCACGTTTCCAGTCTTTTTGTGACTGTAAATGCTCAAACATGTGAAATAATGTTGGTCCCACTCCCATGCATTATGGTGGTTGTTAACCCTCGCCCCGTTGGGGGGGGGGGGCATTTTGGCCCCCCCCCTGTGGTTTTTCCTGAATAGCAAGAAAACGGCGGCGCGCAGCGCCGCCAAATTTTCAGTACCTTTCCGGGCATCAATTTGACACCTTCACACCAAATTTCAAGTCTTAGGTCACCTTAGGTCAGGAGTTATTGAGGTCAAACTGAGGTCATGTTCGAGCAAAAATGAGCAAAAAACATGCAATCTTGAAACGCTCACCAATTCTACAGTTATCAAGCAATTTCAAAGTTCTTTATATGGTCTAATAGACAAAAAGCGGCGCTACAAAACTGCTATCTCGGATTTTCAAAATTTTGGGTTTTTGACCCAAAAATTTTCAAAAAATTGATTTTTTTAGAAAAACTAAATAAAAATCCAAAATTTTTCCGAATTTCGAAAAAACCGGAATATATGTGATAGTCCCTGCGCTCTTCTATATACATACCAAATTTCAGATCGATATCTCGTTTTTTGGCCAAGTTATAGCGAAAAAACTGTTCAAAAATGATGACGTCAAATTTTTGAACTCAATTTTTAGCGATTCTAGACCTTGTACGGCAAAACAAAGACCACCATTGAACTCCCCGTGACGAGCTGCATCAATTCGATACCCATTTTATGCAAAAATATCAACTTTGAAATTTGACCTTATTTGACCTGACCTTGACCTGACCTTGACCAAAACGTGACCTAAGCTGGCCCCAAAGGCTGCCTGACCCACATAATCGCATTTGTCATGTAAAATGGACCATAAAACATGTATCACACGACACTTTCATATTGTGACCCCCCAGTGACCTGACCTCAGTGACCTGACCTGGTATCAGTGACCTCAACTAGCAAAATATGTGTTTGAAGAACATTTCCCCATCGATGATTTTCAATGAAATGCATTTTACTCGATTTTACAACGCATTTCTTGAAATGCCTGTAAACGGTGAAAATTGGACCTTTGACCTGACCTGTGACGTCATCGGTTTGACCTAGGTCAATAAAATTGGGTCACAAGGTAGTTCCCTGATAGGGCTATCCAACACCGTTTGCCGCTTGTCGCTACGTTGCGTGGTTCTCGAGATCTTAGGGGGGGGGGGCCAAAATGGCCCCCCCCCCCCAACGGGGCGCGTTGCTCGGCAGAGCCCAACGGGGCGCGGGTTAAGGTCACGTGGTGATGGTCAGGTCAAGACCATTGACCTTTGATGACTGTGGCTCACTTTTTAAAGCTTTACATGCTTCTAGGGTAGTTTTGGAGCTGATTTCGAATTTAGCATCTGTATGAACACTCACAATATAGTTTTAGTGCCTTTGTGTTTCATAACATCTTATGATGCTGTTAGCAGTTGTTAACACCTACTATGGATAGCCGGCAGGAGAGGAGGCCTACTAATTGACCCAACCTGACCTGACTCGTCCTGGCCTGGATGCATGAAGAGTGAAGACATCATCTGTAATCAAAACTAACACGAACTTAGTGATCAGCACCCCTAAAAAAAAACAACAGCTTCACTTTGAGAAGTTCTAGCGGGTCCCGATTTTCTCAACTTTTGGGTCATTAACCTGACCTGGAAGGTCAATCATGAATCAATGACACAGGACCTTAAAGTTGGGTATCAAAGGCTACCTGTCGTCACCGGCAACACGCTTGTTTTTTTCCGCGAAGCTCTAGCTCGATCAGGGGCCGAACTGCAGGGGGTCCGTCCATCCAACCGACCCCCCTCCCCCCTACACATCAAACGTTGGAAAACGCTGCACACAGGCGAGGGGTCAAATAGCACATAAGTAGCTTTTTGATATGACAGTGAGCTCCATGATCACTGGACTCATCTGATACCAGTGCACTGCGTTGTTGTTTCCATGCATCATTTATTCATCATGCATTGTTTCAGATGGCAGGAGAGATGGACAAGGAAAGAGTGGGTTCCTGGGAGCAGAAATGGTCAGAGGGAAAAATCAACTTCCACAAGCAAGAAGTGCACCCTGACTTGAAAAGGTGGTATGACAAGCTCGTTCCCGATGATCGCCCCCGAACGGTTCTGGTGCCACTGTGTGGCAAATCTGTGGATATGATGTGGTGAGTCTAACTTAGCGTCTAGCGATGAGTCCTGTCTCAGTGATAGAAAGCCTCAGGCTGGAAAGAAGTAAGCTGCTGCTCCGTCTCCATAATTACGTTTGGTTTAGACCCCTTATTTCCGTGCCCAAAGGAGGCATTGGAGCCGGTCGGGACGACTTACGAACCGCTTCGTTACCTACGTATTTTAAGATGTTATGTTTTATCTTCGTAATGTGTTAGACACGCTTAACTTTCTGCAAAAATTATTTTCGATTGATTCATTAACGTGAGGTTAAATTGGCTTCCAATCATTTGTAAAATTTTTCGAGTTTCGGTCTAAATTATTTACCGATGATTCGTTGAACATTCGATATAAATTGCTTCCCGATCGAATGAGTGGCAGAAAAAGAATTCATTTGTCTCTGTTGCTGCACAAGCTCGGCTTATCAGGCACAACTGTTGAGTCTAGGTAGCATTCATCTGTAAATTACGATTTTCTGACGGAGGCTAGACCTGACTAGAAAGCAAAAAACTCAGGACACTGAAACGGTAACTGATAACAGAATTGTTTCTGATAGTATCTAAATATCCTAGCACGGACCATTCCGAGACTCTCAACACGTCTTCCTCAGACACTTGCATGGTATGTAGTCTGGAGTATGTACTGTACCCTATTTGATAATGTATTTCAATGCTGAATCTTCATTTATTTTCAGGTTATACTCAAAGGGCCACACTGTGATTGGAATTGAGTGTGCTGAGAAAGCAATCCTCGACTTTTTCGCGGAAAACAAGCTGGACTTTACTACGTCATCCTCAGTTCCCGAAGCAACATTGTATCAGGTAAGTATTGTATGTTGCAGAAGAGTACGGATAAATGAACTAAACTTGATTGCATCCATTGTGGGCAGTGGTTGTTTGACTGTTGAATCTAAACGTGAAAAATACCTTTGTTCTTCGCTCTATCTATGTAACACACCTTTGTCCTTCATCTCATCTTGTATGTTCCCAGGTTACTTGTAACAGTTATTGATTGACAGTTCACAGCACGTTGATCGGAATTATTATCTCCGAATTATTCCTAAAACGTTATCTAACCGTGGCCTGCGGCCCTGGACCTGCAGACGGCGGACGGCCGACTCCGGCTGTACCGTGCTGACATCTGTCGGCTGAGTGGAGAAACTATTGGCGCCGTGGACGGGATCTGGGACCGTGCTTCGTACGTGGCAATGAACGTGGAAGACAGACCCAAGTAAGAATGGTGCGGTCTTAGCACAAACATGGTTTCTACTTTATAGCTGATGCAATGCAATACTCGCAGCTAGCAAAATGCGTTGATTGGGTTAGAGGGGAATCTGTAAATCTGTGATGTTGTACTATACACAGATGTTGTAAGTAACATAGACTCTACTCATAAGTTGCAGACAAACCTAGATGCGTTATTGCAATGGTGTAAGGATTGGAAAATGTCAGTAAATGTAAATAAATGTGCTTTAATGAGAATGTCAAGAAACAAGCGTGCGGCAGTCCCAAAGTACTTTTTCAATAACTCAGCAATTCCAGTAGTAGAAGAGTTAAAATACTTAGGAGTGTTCATTTCGAAATCTTGTAGCTGGCAAAGACATATACAGTATGTGGCTAGTAGAGGTAACCAAATGTTAAGATTTGTGAAAAGAAATTTTAAAGGCTGTCCACAAGTAGTAAAAGAAACAGTGTATACATCTTTAGTTAGGCCATTAATAGAATATGCAAGTTGTGTTTGGGATCCCAACGCAGAAGGAATGAAACACAATTTAGAGATGATACAGAGGCGTGCAGCTCGTTTTACCTTGAACGATTACAGTAGGGATAGCAGCGTCACAGATATGTTGTCATGTTGGCTGGGACACGCTGGAAGCACGACGCAAAGTTGCCAGATTGTGTTTTTTGCTCAAATTGTACCATGGAGAGAGTAGACATGACACTGATAATATTATTCTTAGGCCTAACTACATAGGGAGGAACGATCATCCCAAAAAGATAAGGCGGATACAATCGCGACTACTATCATACCACAATTCGTTCTTTCCTAAAACTATCCGAGAATGGAACCAACTTGATGTAAATTTAGCCACAATAGAGACGCTTTCTGACTTCAAAGCGATGTTGTAATGTGTGTACTTGTAGTGTATAATGTTGTGTTCGATGTGTATTTGAAAGAGGAGACTCATGCTACGACCAATCCAGACGAATCGAATTTAGTACGATCCGCCGACCATCACCAGGACCTACCAATGGTATTTGTGATGTTTTTCTATGAATACAAATACGAAGTAAAACGAAATGGCGACTCGCGTCAGTAATGTGCATCCGTTGACTTATCTGTGCCCATTACCTATGACTTGTTAATAAGTATTTTGGGAAGTTGAGCTTGTGACGAGCTATGTTCACGGTTGTCGGCGCGTTGGCCAGGTACGCGGCGCTGCTGCGCTCGGTGATGGCGCCCGGCTGTCGGTACCTGCTCAGTACGGTCGAGTACGGTCCCTGCGAGTTTCGGGGCACGCCTCGCAGCGTCACCCCCGCCGACTTCCGACCCGAGTTCGGTGAGTGGCGGGGGGGGGGGGGGGGAGAGGGGTGCTGGTAGAGCACGGTGTGAGAGGCGAGAGCTGAATGATGTTAGACGAGGTCGAAGACCAGTGTAACGTAATCGGTAATTCACCGGTAACACTATCGTTTGAGGACAAAGTGCGTACTGCGTACATACTTCGGTGTGTGATGTCTCGGTTCCGGGTTCACGCGCTGACTTACCATTAGTTGTGGCTTGGGGGCGTCGACAGTTAGATCATAACTATTAACTACGTTCATGTGCGTTGATTTAACGAATCATCGATGGACGGTATCGGCATGGGTACCACTACCAGTATAGTGCTATCGGTATCGGTTGCTCTTGTTTGACACTTGAAAGTTTCTGTTGATAGTAGCTTTCACGTTGATGCAATGAGTCAGTGACAAAAGAAGTACCTTCCTGCAGATTGTACAGAAAGGCACTTTTTGCCATCCGCTTATCCACAGCCCCGTCGCAATAATCCCAGGCATGTGGCGTACCACCTTCTTACACCGTGCCTGTACCAAGACTGACACGTTATACGATGTCTGTGCTGGTTTGCAGAGTCTGTGGCGGATATCGAGCACCTGTACTCGCACCCTCAGCCCGACGACCTGCCGCCGGGCCTGCTCCGATGCAGCCCGGCCGGCCTCCAGGAGAACCTGTACCTTATCGTGCGACGGTAGACGCCGAGGTGGTAACCGCGGTAAGGCGAGCGGGAGAGCCGTGAACCGTGCTAGTTGGGCAGGCACAGAGACACAGAGAATCGTACGATGAACCTGTGCGAGGGCGGCTCAGCCCAGTGCATTTGGTGGATGGGACCATTTGGAAGATGTGCCGTGTTGTAAAAAGCCGAGTGTCGAAGATTGATGTGGTGGTGCGCACATTTGATTTTGTTACAATCAGCTCTGTACTTTTTGTAGTGACGGAATCAGTTTGTATAAGGTGCACGCAGCGGAGCGGAAGGCGCGACAGCTCAAACCAATGCCTTAAACCACCTTAGACGTTTGACGTCGGCATGCCCACTAGTCAATAGGACGTTTAGTTCGTTGAACTGTAATTGACTCATCGCGGGTTATTTTCCTGTCTAGGTTCTCTTCACCCCGGTCGCTGGTCAGTTATAATCTGGCTTGTGGAGGTAGTAAGTCTAAATGGGCTACGCCCGAGACTGGTAGTGGTGCTCCATTATTGTTACATGCTATTTTGGCAGTGTGCTAAGCATTGTGATTCTATTTTACTATTATAGAATTGAGTGATGCTGTGATGCGTGCTTTTTAGGACGCATTACGTAATACCCAGGGACGGCGTACGGTACTTGTTTCAAACGATGCACGTCCAATGTTCATACAGTAAATAAATTTTTGGTCGTTTATCCGTCCCTCTCACCTATGTAACAGATTACAGATCATGTATAAAATCGCATTCTGCAATTTGCTCTGGTTGGTCTTGCCAATTGAGAGTTATGCATCTGTTTACATATTCTACGATTACCAGCACCGTACCAAAACCTGTAGGAAGGCTGTGGGGCCTGACCGGCATGTGGAGATTGTATGTTCGATTGCTGATGGGAGACATCGAGTGAACATCAGCGAAAACACGTGTACCTGCACGCTAACGGTGTGGCTTTGACTTGGAGATGGCAGTCACTTCACATCACCTTCTGGTGCTGTAAACTTTATTGAATACACCTGATCACTTTTGATTATATCAAGAATGTAACATTTTAACAAGAAACATTTATTGAGATAGAATATGGCAAGTGGTAACAATGAAAGCATTGTAGTGGGTCAGAATAAGCCTGGCCCCATTCATACACCTCTGGATCATGTGACCATTTGCCAAGGATCAGCTGTCTCATTTGGAATTTCACATGGTTTACATACATTTGTTCTTTACAAATATAAAAATACATAAAAAGGGAGGACACAATCTGGAGATAGGCAGGTACTCACTACATTTATGATGATATAACTGTGTCCTGGGAGTTAAGACAGTTCGGCCTTACAGCTGGGTTTGTTCCTTTCCAATCGTTGGGTTGGCATTGTCACCCAGGAGGTTCTGCGAGGAAGAGAAGAATGGACGAAGTGAGGGCTTTGGTGTCGAGCTGATGCTCATGGTGTCGATCTCGGGCTCAGAGTCTGATGCGTACTCGTCCAGCTCCTTCAGCAGGTCAGCGATCTCCCTCTCCTCGCCGTCAAACTTGGGATCCATGTCCTGGTCCTGGTCCAGCTCCTGCAGACCCTCGGACACCTTGAATCGCTTCAGAAGTGTCATGAACTTCTCCTTCAGGTTTCTCTGCCTCATGTTTGAGCCCATGTGCTTGGAAGATGGGGGCTTTCCTCTGGCATCAGGAATCTGCTCAGAATCAGAGCACTCATCATTGGTGCTGTACTCTTCCTCTTCTTCTGAGTCATACCTGTAGGGCATGTCCATGTTCTTGGGCATCTGCATTTCTTCCTGTTCTGCTGGCTGACTGACCAGCGACTCCACACTCAGGATGGCAGCCAGGGTCTGACGCTCCTTTGGGTCCGAGTACAGCATCAGGTCTTTGTCCACTGACTTCTGCAGGATTTGTGACATGTTGATGACACCAACAGACAGTGTCTTGTACCCCAGTATGGTTCTGTTTTTGTACCTCTTGCGTCTCTGCAGCATGATCTGCAACTTGTTGCCCTCTCCTTTCAAGAAGTGAGGATACTGGAGAGAAAATGTTAAATCCAGCTCAGTGTCAATAAGGCCATTGCTTTGTAAAGGAATTTCATTTGACCTCAAGGTTCTTTTGGCACTCTGCATCTTCACAGCAATCAGCAATGACCCCAAGTCCGAACTGACTGGACGAACAACCTTCAGATGGGCCAGCTTCAGGGTGCACTGCCTTGCAATGCAAACTGGGGATGTTCTTTCCACTTCCCAGGTTGCAAATAACCTCATTGGGGTTGGCTTAACCCCATCAGCTGTTGACACTTTAGATGGTTTCTCTGCCATTTTTGTTCCTGCTAGCAAATAGTATGAGCTACAAAGAACTTACTGCAACAATAATGGCACCATTCAAACCACACTAATACTGCTGAGCATCTCTGGGTCACTGCCAACACTGCAAGTAATGTAATGTTGAGAGTTTGAGTTCACTTCAGGCACATGTGGTGCTGACAGCTTTCACCTTCAGATATGAACAGTTTATACGGAAACAGCTGTGGCATCTATCCTTAGCACCTCAAAATTCAAATGCAGTCATGCACAAGCATGCTTATATGCTAGGTAGGTAGCGCCTGTACCATATGGCTCATTGGTTGACTTCCATCTCAATCTTCCAAGTAGCCTCTTTGATTCAAACCCTATCTTGATCGGTTCTTGATCTCCACTGTCTTTGCATTGGATGAATGCTTGAAGGCGTCTGCTTCTGGCACTTTCCAAAAAGTTCAATAAGTAGCAGAAGACATGCTGATGTCTGATACACGACAAAGATGGGCAACCAACACCACCGAAGGACTTGGAAGGGCTATAAAATGCGAATTTTGATATCCAATGCGAGCTGCACAATTCGTGAGAGAGAACTTGTAATTGAACAAGGTTTGGGCATTCAATTCTTGTCAATTTCAAGATATATGACGTCATATTCAAAGCTAATATTTTGTTTTTATTATTTTTAACAAAATTCAACCTTGAAAAATTACAAAGTGAATAAAATAATTTTTCGTCAAATTATTAAGAAAACAAACATAAAATTAAGATCAATTTTTTGATATAACGTAAATATAGAGGGCTGTTTTCGACTGTAATACAAAAACTACGCCACAGAGATCTTCCTGGCGCAATTCACTACCTCGCTTCCGTGTTTGAAATCAACAGAAATCAATTCAGTGTGCTATGAGCGGTGTGTCAGTTATTCGGTATATAGGGCCTCGCGTTATTCGTAGTTTACTGAATGCACGGTGACTGAATGATATCCCTTTTTAATAGGTAATTTGCATTTGAGATACACACGTTAGAGGTGGCAAGGAATTTGAAATTGGGTTAGGCGCGCATTTAGCACGCAATCCTTCAGGACCTAGGGCGTGCTGAAAAGTTCAATTACCTATATCAACTCATCAGCACGTAACTCTGCGCCGACCAGCCAACAAATAATCAGCTGCTGCGCTTCATGGCATGTTTGGCACTGAGCTGCAGTCAGCGAGCGGCCCATGGGCTTCAATGTAAAATTCAGCGTGTAAATGTGCGCGCCTAACCAGAGGACGGCGACCTTTACACTACACCGCCCGGCCGGTGTCAGCATCAACCACATCGGCATCCAAACAAAAAAATGGACATCCTGGAGTGGTGGCAAATATAACTACTCAATTTCAGGTCACCTTAACTCACAGTTACCGAATCCCCCTTAAAATCTTGAGTGTTTTTCCTTTCCAATGTTACCTATGTCTCTCATAATTTCATTGAAAGATATGTAGGTTGGTAGTAGGTTATGGGTGGGTTGGCTGCTTAGAAGGTTAGTGGGTACTGATAGGTTAGGTTAGATTGTTTTTTATCTACTTCAACTTCATCTTCACATTTTCCAGAAGTCTGCTTAGCAGGGCGCTCTGTTCTTCCATTTGAAGGTAGGATATGAATGCATAAAAGATTAAAACCAAACCAGTAGGTGAATGCTTAGTTCATTTCAATTCAGTTCAAGTTCATTGTACAGTGTGAGAGATTGTAATGGCTATCCATAACATTAACATTTCATGATCACATTTGGGTTGATATATACAAGGTTTGTGGCCTTTATGGATCACTGAAGTTTATTATAATGTGACATCAACATGCATTCTCTTATATCAGCAGTCAGCATAGGTATACCTTCAGTCATTCACCCCAGTTTTCTAGTATGGTGTTGTTTCATGAGTTTTTCTTCAAAATCTTGGTCTAGGTTTTACATGACATGCCATAGTGCTTTAACTAATTGTTCATTATTTTCCCTTCATTGTCTTTTGTAGTTGGTTTCAGTTTCAGTTGCTGGTGAAAATGAAGCTATGAACACAATCACAGGCCACAGTCCAGGCCCCACTCATGTCAAATGATGAGATAAAACGTACCTTAAGTTACCTACTTGGCATCTTTTCCAGTTGCAAGCACTGGTGACATTTTCTATCAATTTAGTTGGCATGTTTGCTTGTTATGTTACACGCTCAGTAGTCAGTGCTCACACATTCCAATGACCCATGATGACTAACATCGAAATTCATGGTTTGTTCTAATTTCTGATTGCTCTCAGAATCGATATTCTAAGCAATTATTGTCATTTTTAATGCTGATATTTCAGTGTGCCTCACCGAAGGACCTCAGAAGTGTCACAGCCAGCCTTAATCACCCCCACCTCTCTGGGCGTGCTCTGAGCGGATATGGCGCCCCGCAAGGCCCGCGCGCCCAAGGCGGCCGCGCTGCCGCCCTCGCTGCCGGCCGGCCTGGTGGTGACAGACCTGACGCGGCGCACCTGGCGCATCGACGCGCCGATCGGCTCCGGCGGCTTCGGCCTCATCTACGGGGCCACGGCCGAGTCGGCGCCGCCGGCCGCCGGCGCCCAGTACGTCATCAAGGTGGAGAGTCACGGCAGCGGGCCGCTCTTCTCCGAGATGCACTGCTACATGCGCGTGGCGCGCGCCGAGACGATCGCCGCCTGGAAGAAGGCGCACGGTCTGAAGAAGTTCGGGATGCCGCAGTTTGTCGCCAGCGGCTCGTTCGACCACGGCGGTCAGAAGTTCCGCTTCATGGTGATCGAACGGTACGGCACCGACCTGCAGAAGCTGCTGGAGCAGAACAACCACCGCTTCCCCATGGCGACCATCCTCCACATCGGCATCCAGGTGGTGAGTGGACAACCGACGCTGCCTTTATCTAGCCGGCCAAACGTGTGCTGACCAGTGAGACATTACAGCCATGACGGTTTCCCGACTCATCAGCCACTAGCGGATCAAGTCAGAATGCAGCATGCTCTCATTATAGCCCAACGATCGTCAGAATGCAGAATGTTCTCATTATATCCCAAAGATCGTGATGTGATGGATCATCCGAAGTTTCATTTCTTTCAGTTGGATGTTCTGGAGTTTCTCCACAGCCAAGAGTACATCCATGGTGACATCAAGGGCCAGAACCTCCTGCTTGGGCTCGATAAAGACACAAAAGACTTGGTAAGTACGCTTCCATCCACTGTGCATGACTGATCTTGTGGACTGGTAGGCTGAGTTACTATCACAAGGGATTCATTGTTCAAAACTAGATTCAGCGTTCTCCGTTGCCCACGCACAGGTACACCTGGTCGACTTTGGCCTGGCGTGCCGGTACGCCTTCGACGGCGTGCACAAAGAGTACAAGCCGGACGTGCGGAAGGCGCACAACGGCACCATAGAGTTCACCAGCCGGGACGCGCACATCGGCGCCCAGTCGCGGCGCGGCGACCTGGAGATCCTCGGCTACAACCTGCTGCAGTGGGCCAGCGGCACGCTGCCCTGGATGGACCGGCTGCAGAACGCCGAGCGGGTGGCAGACGAAAAGAACCGGCTCATGGCTAACGTCCCGGCACTCGTCAAGGCCTGCTTCAAGAACGGGATGCCGAAAGGAGCCGGTGAGTGATCGGGGAGACTGCGCTGGGCACAGGGCGATGGGAGGGAGGTGAAGGGAGATGAGGGTGGACGCTGGACTGTGGGGGTAGTGTAGGACGTTACACTGCTAGTTGGCTGTAACCAGCCAAGTGGCAAGATGTCCTGTAGCAGCCTGTCCGTCCAATGTCCATGTAATTATTATTCGCTGCTTCATCGCCTTATCTTGATCGGTATTAAATATATCTTTTTTACAATATAACTCAGCTTTATTGGACAGTTTCGTGATCTTTATTGCCACTGCTTCAGCGAATTGCATTGTCACTTTTGTCACATTTTCATAAGAACCTCAGAATTCGAATTAGGATGTTTTCTCTTTCCGGTGAGCCGAAGGCACAATAACAATAACACAATCAGGGTCATGTCATGTATACAACATCCCCTATGACCAGTGACCACGGTCACCGACTCGCCCACTCGCTCACCGTTTCACCCTTGCGTTCCGTCCCAGACACTCTGCAGCGGTTCCTGGCGGCCGTTGCCGCTCTGAAGTTCGACGAGCAGCCCAACTACTCCGCACTGCGCGGCGTTCTGCACGCCGGGCTCAAGTCGCTGGGAAACCCGCCCGCCCGGCTGGTCTTCGTAGCCGACTCGGTGAGAAAATCCTGCACAACTTCCCTCCATTCGAAGAGTGTTTTACGAAGGTGTCTGATGGATGGATTGATGGTTTGTTTGGGCGTGTGGTGTTTTATGAAGCTATTAGATCATGGGTGAGCAATATTTATGCGGTGTGATCATCGTAATAAATCAAGCATTTTTCCTAGAATGTGCAGGAGACGTACCATGCTTATTGCTGCTGTCTGAAATACATTCCAATGTGCACCAGTCGTCCCTTGGCTGCCCTGACCGCCCCTATCTCCTCCCCGCTCCAGGACATGTCGAGCCCGCGGTCGTCGGGCCGCGCCGCCCGGGACCGCTCTCCGCTGCACACGGACCAGGAGCCGGCCTCGTCTCGCCGCCGGCCGGCCGCCGCCGCCAAGAGAGGAGGACGGGGACGCGGCCGCGCCGCCGCCGTGTCCTCACACTCTTCCTCCGAGGGAGAGGAGGAAGAGGAGGAGGAGCCGCCCCCTCAGCCGCTGGTGAACGGTCGCGGCGGAGGAAAGGGCGCGAAGGGAGGCGCGCGCGGGAAGAAGAGGGCGTCTGAGGAGAGTCCGGAGGAGAACGGGGCGGCGCCCGGACGCAGCAACGGCGCCGGGAAGAAGGCCAGGGTGAACGGCAAGGTAAGGGGACTGGGAGAGGAGGGGAGGGATCGTGATCAACAGACCTGTGTTAATTGACGATTGACGGCAGACCCTAAATATGCTCTAATTCACCTCTTGTAAGAATAATTGTGTAGTAACACTCACGCATGACAGCACACTATCGGAATTGACACACAGCCATATCGTATATTAGCGCATCCATACCGCCTTAATTGCCAAATCGGCGCCGTTGCCCGCAGGCGGACTCGGCCAAGTCCAGTGCCAACTCCTCCAGCACCGGCTCCATCTACGACAACATCAACCCGGCCATGCAGGAGGTGCTCGACAAGAGGGCCAAGGCCGCCGAAAAGGCCAAGGCCAAGCCAAAGCAGTCAGTGGCCAAGTCGAAACTGAAGTCGTCGGCTGCAACTTCCGCCGCCAGGTATGTCGCTTGAGGTGCTTGAGTGACGATGGAATGAAATTATTGGAAGTTATGTATAAAGATGTTTTCAGTCATGATCGCTATGAGTGTTTTCCAGATGTCAGCGTGTTACGCCTGTTTTAGATACGAATGAGCCTTTCCATGAGGTTATTTTTTGTTTGTGCCGGAGTTAATAATGTGCTTGGCCAAATCAGTTTGCTTTGTTGAGAAGTGAAAATTGAAATGTGTTTTAAGACTAAGGAAGGACTAAGAAATGAACATTCTGCTTCATAAGCAGGTGCTACGGCCGTCATTTTCTGTGCAATTTAAGTACTTGGTCAATGCTTCATGCTGATGTATTTCGGTAGAGTACCGGTACCCGGTCTGACTCCCCGTCCCGTTTGCAGTCGGGCGGCGAAGGGCCGGGCCGCGGCGGTGGCTGCCGACTCCCCCTCGGGCCGGGCGGCCGGCCGGCGGGTGGCCTCGCCGGGCCGGGGCCGCGCCGGCCGGCCGGCCGTCCCCGATACCAACGGGGACAGCGAAGACAGCTTCCACACGCCGTCGGGCGCGCCGGCCCCGCGGCGCAGCGGCCGACTGAGCGGTAGTGGAGCCCTCAGCCCGCTGGCGCAGCCCCGCCGGGCCATCCGCGGCGCCGACCTGTCGCCGGAACTGTGGTGAGGTGTCGACAGGGCGCCAGGAGGATCCGCGGTGAATCGGTGAGAGCAGACACTGCCGGGAGAGGATTCATGGTAGACACTGCCCGGAAAGAATCTTTGGCGAACTGGTGAGAGCCGGATAGCTAAGGAGGGTCCCTGATAACCTGTCGTGGCGCCGACCACTGAGGATAGTTCTCGCTTCACTGTGGAGTGGACGGGTGAGCCGCTGCTCGGTGGAAGAGAAGACTCCCGACTAGGCGGCCTGCCAGGACGAGTGAGACATTCCGTTTGGTGCCGATGTGGAGCTGACGGCAGTGGATGGTCGCGGCCGCCGGTGAGTGACAAGCTGTGGTGGACGCTGTGGAGATTCAGTGCAGTGGGCGAGGATGGCTCGGTGCGGTGGAGATTCAGCGCAGTGGGCGCTGATGTTCGTATGGTCACACGCGGCTGGAGCCTTGATGTGAGTTTTCCCAGGGAGCAGTTGCCAAGGCGCGATGACTGTGAAGTGGCTGACGTCGACATGGAGCCTAGCGCTCGGTTCTGGAGGTTCCTAACCGCCACCCGTTCGACTGGCGACGCTGTGATGTGGACACTGTCGTGAGGTGTTGTCGATCTGTACAGTCCGCTCGGACGCCGGCGGGTCGGGCCGGGTACCACGGGTTACGGGGCTCGGTTCGCTCCTCACCCCGCCCCCCGACGGCCAGTGAGGCGGAGGGCGCCTCGCGACGAGCTTCGGGCGCGCCCGGAGCGCTCGGATAGCGCGCCGGGCACCGCGCGTTTCAATGTAGAGCTGTGATTTGCTGACTGAGGGTGCGATGGTCATTGCAAGATTCTCATTCCCATCGATGTGTCGTTTTTTATTCCTAGAAGATATGTCTCCTTTTCTGCACGTATTCTTCAGTGGCTACTGTGCTAATAACTATGTTTTGCTAATGAAACCTGTTTATGCAGTTTCGCATTTAGAAGGAGCATTGAAGAAGACGCGATTCACCAAAAGTTGAACGTCTTTCGCAACAATCAGTTGACACGGGTTTGACACAAACTCATCCGTTGTATCAAAAGATTTGTTTGACATCCTGAATGTTAGCTCCTAACTGCTTTCCCTTATCGCTTCACCTCAGAGTGACTGAGTTGTGAGCTGCTTCCTGTACAATGTTGTTTTTCACCGTGCGTATCAAACGTGGACTATGAATTTCACTTTCAGCGCGAGACTTCGCATTTTTTACGCTCTTGTCCTATATGTTGTAATAAAATGGCTTCGAAATGCAGATAATGGCGTGTTTATGTGTATCAGAAACACTTTCTAAGAATGATCTATGCAAAGCGAGGTTATATTTATAAGATATGACACAGATAACAGTAGTACTTCTGTTATCTGTGGATATGACCTTCCCTAAGCCGATAACCAACTTTGTCGCCTTGGAACGACATCCCGCCCGCAGAACGGTCTATTACAGTAGACGCTAGATGGGGCGTCCGATTTACAGACGAACATAGAAAAGAAACGTCCTTATCACATTAGCCATCTTGGGAACGAATAATGACATTACTTACATGAATAGCAGTATCAATATCAGCTCCGATAGGCGGATATTACACGATCGTCTCGGTCTTGTCTCCCACCCATCAACACCCCTGCTCCGAATTCTCGATGTTTTTTCTTCCCTTTCCCTACTCCTTCTCTCTTCAGTCTTCACCCTCCGACCTCAGACGACCAGCCGCAGCCGTCAGCAGTTAGCAAACGTCTTAACACGCAGTTTAATACAGTCCCCCTCCCCAATCACCACCCCCACCACGTCCTCCGGTCACGACCCCCGCTCGTCCTCCCGGCCCTCCCCTGTCCCCTCGCCCTCACCGCACGCCGCCGCGCCGTCCCCGTCCGTCCGTCCGAGCACCCTGTCCAGCTCCCGGCGCCACTGCTGGTCGGACAGGCCGCTGGCCCACCGCTCGGCCCCCGGCAGACGCACCGAGCGCATGGCCCGCCGCACGGCCTCGGCCTGGTCGGCTCCGAGCGGGCCGTCCGAGCGGCCGGAGCGGGGTGGGGTGGAGAACAGGGCCAGCCGCTCCTGGGCCGCCTGCTTCTGCCGCTGCCGCTCCGCCTGACCGGGAGCGGATACAGTCAGATATCGCGGCTAGCACCAGATTGACGAACACAGAAAGATTGCACGTAATGATCGCACGCAAGTGAGTGATGTACTTCAGAGAGGTGAAAACCTTGCATGTTCACCTCAGTTGATTTCTATAGCTTGAGTAAAACGAGTTATGAGACAATGTCTCTCTTCCGTCTGTACAATAATAAAAGAGTTTCATTTCTTCAGACTTCATCCTCACATTTCTCCCTCCCTCCAAACTGACGGTTCGCCCGGTATCTCACCTCCATCGCTTCCTCGGGCCACTGGCTGGGGTCGGACTCCTTGGTCCTGGGGGCGGCAGCGGCCGGAGCGCCCTCACTGACCAGGTCAGCGCAGGGGTCGGGCAGGTCACCAGCCGGGTCATCGGTCGTCTCCACGGTGTTGACCCCGTGCCGCTCCAGGGCCGCCATCAGGTCAGCCACCGACTGAGGCTCGTCGTCATCATCGGCAGCGTCGGCGTCACTGGCGTCATCCTGAACGAAGTGGTGGTGACTCGTGAGGATGGATCGTGTCGGAACGTCGGAATCAACCGCAAACATTCCGTCAGAGGAGGGAAACTGCATCGTATGATCACAATTTTTAACGATAGAAAAGAGGTCGATCAGCGTCGAAATTTGAAAGTGATCGCATCTTTCAGAGTGTTTGCTCTCCCCACAAACAGCTTATCAACACAACATTGTGCTCATCCTCTCTCCAACCCTTCACATCTCAAAACAGTCCTGACTCGACCCTGACGGTGCCTCTCCTCGCTTTTCCTCAGCTATCCTCTCTCTCTCTCAGATTTCCCCCGTCCCCGTCCCTCCCACCGAGCCACTCACGTCTGAGCTGAGGCCGTCGGGCACGGGCAGCGCGCCGTCCTCTGCGCGGCCGGCGGCGTCCAACAGCCGGTAGCCGTCCCTCTCCGGTGACGGCGGCGTCATCCCGTCATCGCCGTCATCGTCAACGGGGGACAGCGGCCGCGGCGGCTCCGGCGGCATCCCGCTGCGCAGGACACACCACCGACGTCACTGTGACGTCACACTACTGACATCACTGTGACGTCATACGTGACGTGACGTCACACAGCGGCCGTCACTGTGACGTCACACCACTGACGTTACTGTGACGTCACACAGCGGCCGTCATGAGTGACGTCGTACCGGGAAGATGGGTATTTGAGTCTGCAATGTGTTTTTGTGTGGTTCAATAAAGCCAGCGGTGTAAGTAAACAAAGTTACGTTGGAACAGTGAACACGTTTACATTATTCGCGTTGGTGAAGTACACAATCCGTCGATAATAACGTTCAACTATAGGCATGAAAAACGAATAGGTTTAAAAATGTCGCTGAATAATGAAAATAGCCTAACCTAACAGTCAGTTTCCCGTTTGTGTTGTTCAATTAACTCAGTGCCCACTTCGACTGTCCTCTACAGCTCTCGAGCCGGGAAAAGAAGCGACTCAATACTCTGTATGTATTGCAAAATACCTTCCGCATGTAAGTCACAAAAGCGATCCACATTTGTCAAAGTCCCGTAGACACAGCAAACCCGATCATTCCGTCTCCATCTTCGCTGCGGACGGCTTCCGTTTTCGGACCCGCTTTTTCTTCTTCTTGGCGGACCCGTCCTCGTCGGTTTTTCTCTTCTGCGCGTCGCCGGCGGGCCGTCCGCGCAGCTTGGCGGCGGCCTCCTCCCTCTCCGTCTCCACTGTGGTCTGCACCTGCTCCAGCGCCGCCACGTAGGTGGCCTCATACTGGCGCAGCTCGTCCAGCGGCGCCGGAGTCTCACGCACCTGGCCGTCCGCCTTGCCCGCCTGCGCCATCAGCCGCTGGAAGTGGCCGCGCTGGCGCTCCAGCAGCAGCGTCACCGCCTGGCCGGGCCGGCCGGCGCGCGCCGTCCGACCCACGCGGTGGACGTATGTCTTCACCAGCGCCGGGATGTCGTATGACACGACCGCGTCCACGGCGTCCACGTCCATACCGCGCGCCATAGCGTCCGAGCAGACGAGCGCCGCCAGCCGGCCGGCGGCCAGCTCAGCCAGCGCGCGCCGCCGCCGGCCGGCCGGCACCGCCCCGGAGAACTCGGCTACGCGCGCGCCTAGCGCCGATAGCAGCAGCGCCAGCCGGTGCGCCGCCTCGTTCGAATTGACGAATACGAGCGCGCGCTCCCAGTCGGGCTGTCGCAACAGGTGGTGCAGCAGCAGCGGCTTCAGCTGCGGCGCCACCACGCTGAAGGACTCGCTCAGCTCGGCCGGCGTAGTGAACTTGCCGACGAACTGGCCGGGCAGTGCGGCGGCGGCCGCCGTGCCGGCCACCATCAGCCGCGGCTGGAACAGTGACAGACGCTCCAGCTTCTCCGGGTTTTGCGACAGGGTGGCCGAGAACAGCAGCTTCTGCAGCGGCAGGTGGGGCGCGCAGACGGCGGCGGCCGTCAGCGGGCCGGCGGCGCGGCGCGGCGGACCGTCGGCGGCCGCTGCCGCGCGCTCCACCGCCTTCAGCCAGCCCGTCTCGGCCATCTCAATCACCCGGTCGGCCTCGTCGATCACGAGGTAGCGCAGGTGCGCCAGCGAGAAGCCCTCGGTGCTGTTGATGTGGTCCATCAGCCGGCCGGGAGTGCTGACCACGATATCGGCCAGCGAGAGCGGGCCGCGCGGCCCCGCCGCCACCAGTTTGCGTCGCTCCCGTGCCACCGTGTCTCCGCCCAGCAGCCGGACGCAGAGCGGCGTGTCGGCGGCGTACTGTCGGAACACGGCGGCCACCTGAGCGGCCAGCGCCTGTGTGGGCAGCACGGCCAGCGCGCGCACCCGGCGCACCACGGCGCCGCGCAGCGCCTGCACCAGCGGCAGAACAAACGCTAGCGTCTTGCCACTGCCGGTCGGCGCCGAGACGCAGAGGTCGGCCGGCGGCAGCGGCGACTCGGCGGCCGCCAGCAGCTCGGGCAGCACGGCCGCCTGCACCGGGAACAGCCGCTCGATGCCCTCGGCGGCCAGCCGGGCGCGCAGTTCGGGACAGAGCGCGGGCAGCTCGGCCAGCGCCGGCCGCCGGTCGCCGATCGGCTGCGGGTGCGCCAGCCAGTCGGGCAGCACGCGGTGCACGGTCCGCCGGCCCGAGCGCTCCACCTCGTCCAGCACGGTGAAGTCGTCAGCGGCGGCGGCGGCGGCGTCTCCGTCCGAGTCGGAGCGGCCCTCACTGTCGTCGTCGCTGGCGACGGCGGCGGCCGCCGTGCGCTCCGCCAGGTCGGCCATCTCGGCGTCGCTCGCCGAGGATTCAGCTTCATCAGCAGTGTCGGGCGAAGGTGGCTTCACCACGGCTTTTGCAGCAGAGACTGGGTCTTTGGTCCTCTGTTTAGTAACTGCTGGACTCTTTGCAGAAACATCTTGCAGTGAGCGTCTTCCTTTTCTGGCATTGAGACGCTGTAGGATCTCTGCCTCTTGCTTGAGGCGCTCGCTGACATCATCATTATCCTCTAATGCCATATTATCAAAAGCTGCAATGCAAGACATAACAAAATTGATTTGTGTCTGTAGTTTTGACAGCGACATAACACTCCATGCATAATTTAAAGGTAGTGTGCCACCTTTGAAAGATTTCCCATTTTATTTTTCCTAGGATAAGAAGCTTCTGTTTTTACCTAATATCGCAAAAAAAATCAAAAATGGGCCTGGAATAGTGCCTTTTTCGCCTAAAAGTTTTTCGGTTTTTAGATATGTATAACAACTGTAGTGGGCTCACCTGCAAACAGGCGTCGGGCAACAATCGCGAATGCGGCGCACTTGTGACAATAAGCAAAGGTCATTATAGTGTTACGACCATAAGATGTACGGGAATGAGTTATCAGCTGTCTAATCGTAGACAACACAATGTCTAGCCTTAAACTGTAAGCCCGTATTGGTATTGTTTCTTTTATTTGGCTGTCGAACATTATTTATGGTTTGAAATATGATTTTATGTAAAATAATTGATATGAAAAAGCCGTCTTATAAGTTATGACCCCATTTCACCACACGCAAGTGGCAGAAATGACAATGATCAGCTGACGCATTTTTCTTGGCCGAAGTCAGAGCGCGCGGCCCGACGCACCACGCGTATTTGGAAATTCCGACCTCGACGAGCATCAGAAGCCAACTAACAGGCGTGTTCGAAACCGCAGGAGATGATGATGAACGGGTTTATCGAAACTTGATTGGATGAGCATATCGGTAATAGCGATTTCAGTGTGTGCATTTATTGTTCATAGTGGTGTGAAATGTGGTTGGGGTACGACCGACAACCCGTCGGGGCGAATTTCGCACTGGGGTACTCAAAATTTGAAGAATTTAAGACGTTTCCATGAGTTTTGAAGGTATGGATAAGTTCTAAAAATCCGGTTCTCCTTATCTGGGCCATTAACTCCATACGGTCCAAGAAAGCTGGCACACTACCTTACTTACTAAGTACACTCAAGCTTACTTACTAAATACACTCAAGCTCATACACAGTACACATCTACCGATCAAGGCTCTATCAACCAGACAAAACGTTCCGGGGCCTTGGACGCTCTCCCATGTTTGAGCGTCCGAAAAGTTTTTTATTTCCACGGAAACCCAATGCCTCAACACGCCTAGCGCACTGTAGCATCGTGCCGTGAAAATAGGCCGGAGCCGGTAGTTCCGGGGCCAAAAACAATCGGCGGAGCGGTGTGTTCGGGCAGCGGAGCAGCACGTGCTCTGGCACATCAGCCTCTTCCCGGCACACGGCGCAGGGCGCCGAGGGGCACAGCTTGTCTGGCTGGCACACCGCGGAGTGGAGAAAGCCGATTCGGTGCACATACTGGAGCGAGAACCCCAGTGCCCTACCCGTATCTGGTGCACCGAAACGGCGTCATCTCGGTCCTCTCCGGATAGCAGATATAGGGAGCGGTGGCGTGCTCCAGAGGAGCGGCTTGAATAGTGACTCGGACCAGTTGTTGCACCATTGATGCGAGGCTGCAAAATGAACTTAACAACGCTCAGCATTGTTCAATAAGGTCTTCCATACCTATCTCCATGCCGAGAGTTGAGGCCTCACCTGGGTGGCCACTCCGCTGAGGAGACTCAGGGCGGCTCGCCAGTTCTTTTAAATACCTTGGCCGGTTCAAGCACGCAACAACCAGGGCTGGGACCTCGTCCCAAAACATCTACAGAGCCTTCCGCAGGGCAAATCTGCTGCTAGATTGACCAGCACCAGCGTGGTGGTTTATTTCGGTGACCATCTTTTGCCAAAAAATTCTGCAGCCGCCTTGCGCCAAAAAATTTGGCTGCCGCCATGCACTGTATTTGGCGCATGCAGTTACGCCGTACTTACTGAAATTGTCAGCACAATCCCGCCATAATGCCAGACATTTTCAGCATAGCATGTATTTTTTCCAGTCTAAAGCCACAGGACTAGCGTATGCAGATATGCAATGCCCTTAGGTTATAAATATTGTCTGCACATTGTTTAACATTGATAACACAAAACCAGATAGTGAGAGATAATGTTTTTCGTACTCCAGCGTAGATGGAGTAACGAACATATACATATAAAAACAAAAAACATATAAAACAACACTTAAAAAAAAACAGATAGTATACGACACAGGTACAATTTCACGGAGGCCGAGGATCACAGATGTGCACTGTATTTGGCGCATGCAGTTACGCCGTACTTACTGAAATTGTCAGCACAATCCCGCCATAATGCCAGACATTTTCAGCATAGCATGTATTTTTTCCAGTCTAAAGCCACAGGACTAGCGTATGCAGATATGCAATGCCCTTAGGTTATAAATATTGTCTGCACATTGTTTAACATTGATAACACAAAACCAGATAGTGAGAGATAATGTTTTTCGTACTCCAGCGTAGATGGAGTAACGAACATATACATATAAAAACAAAAAACATATAAAACAACACTTAAAAAAAAAACAGATAGTATACGACACAGGTACAATTTCACGGAGGCCGAGGATCACAGATGCTTGACGCTTTAAGATGTCAAACAACCTCACCTTTTTACAGACAGATGAGGCAATTGTCAAATCAATCAGGCAAAAAATGAAATGAAAATATTAATTGGTATCGACTGCTGCCACTTCAGCTCTTGTTGTTTACACCCTGCGCGCCTCACGGTCGTCAAGTTAGATGTAAGTGAATCCTAATCTATAATCTAAGATTCGGAATCAGGTGAGCCCCTACGATTCGGACCAAACTTGGTCAGTGGATAGTACGTAACGTCTTGATTACGATGCACCCAGGGGGGTACGCTCCGGCTGTTTAGCATTACGAAAAATGGTGACAGACGTTTGTGGAGGATTGTCGACGAACTCTTGTTCCGCGAGCAGTACTTACACGCTAGCGGAAAATTCACCAATCAGCGCTCGGCAGTACTCGACGCTGATTGGTCCGACGCTCGTGACGAAATTGCGGGGGACCGCAGTTATTCTCTATGGACCCGAATAGGCTTTTGGATTTCGGAGGAGTTTCTTTAAAATTATATGCTGTTTGGAGCTGTTTTCGAGTTGAAATATATTTCTTATGACTGTTAGCTATATAATGACACCATAAAATCATGATTTTAATAAATATTACCGATGTAATATCGGCCGAAAAGACATGCTGTCATGGCACGGACTGCCCTGCGGCTGATGTGGGGCCCCTAGTGCCAGCGTATGGTAATAATGGGTTGACGAAGGGTTATTGGAGAAACTTAGAGCCCCTTTAACATTCAGTATAGGGTCATCAGAGGCCGGGAATGTCCATCAGGGGTCTGAGTAGGCCTGTCATAGGGGCATACATGACACATCATGGCCCATGGGTCAATGTAGATCCATTAGGGGCCGTTGAAGGGCCATCATTGTTCAGCGTGGGCTCGCAATTACCTCTGATGGGCATATGCCGTGCCCCGATGGACTAACGCTGGCCCCTGATGAACCATCACCAGCCCCTGATAGGTCTACAAAGCCCTCTGCTGGGTCCAAATTGGTCACTGATATGCCCAAATGGGCCACTGAGAAACCCGTACAACATCCCCTGACTGCACCTGCTGGACCAATGCCGTCCCCTCATGGGCCCACCACAGCTCTTGAATGACCTTTTCAAGTCCCCTGAAGTGCCTTTATTGGCCTAAATGGCCCCTGATTGACTGATGTGGTCCCTATTGGTCCTATATGGCCCCCATGAGCCCTCAACGTCGGCCTAGACAGCCTTACATTATATGCCACTGGGCCCTGTTGGGTCAGCACCGGCCCCCGATAGGCTTGCACACTGGACCCACCGGGCCTATACCGACCCATGAAGGGTCTATGTCGAACCCTCACGGACCTCCGATGACCACACGCCGACATGTGTGGCCCAATCAGCAGTGGTCCGTCTATCCCATGTACTTACGGTCTTTTTGGCCGATGTGACACCGGTAGTATATAGAATGTCATGATTAAATGTCGTTATTACACAGTCAAAAGTCACAGAAAGAATATCCAAGCTCAAAAATGGCCTCAAACCCAACAAAAACTGGTATAAATCCCCTTCAAAAGCCGTAAGTCTATTAAACGCCATAGGGGAATAGCTACAGTCCCCCGCAATTTCGTCACGAGCATCGGGCCAATCAGCGTCGAGTATTGCCGAACGCCGATTGGTCGATTTCCGCTAGCCTGTAAATGCTGCTTGCGGATATAGTTTTGAACAAGTGAGGGTCGCGGCTACTAATTATCGCTTGTCACCACTTTTTCGTCGGGAACGTTCTACCTGGTTTATATAGCCTTGGATGCACCCAAAATCTAAGCTCGGCCCGCCATATTTACGAAGTTACGGATGTTTGAATTTCAAGGTCATTCGGGAGAGCCCCTGCGATTTCCGTCAAAATTTGTGTACGGACACTCTAGATGCTCCTCATTACGAATATCACAAAATTTAAGCTCGGCCCGCCATATTTACGAAGTTACGGAGGTTTGAATTTCAAGGTCATTTGGGTGAGCCCCTGCGATTTCCGTCAAAATTGGTATACGGACATATTACATCCTCCTCATTACAAATATCATAAAAGTTAAGCTCGGCCCGCCGTATTTTTCAAGTTACGGAGTCACAAAGTTACGGAATTTCAAGGTCATTCGGAGAGCCCCTCCGATTTTCGTCAAAATTTGTATGCGGACACACTACATGCTCCTTATTACGAATATCGTAAAAGCTAAGCTCGGCCCGCACTATTTCAAAAGTTAGAGCTGTTTGAATTTCAGTGAGTTTCAAACGTCAGTAACTTTTGAAATAGTGCGGGCCGAGCTTAGCTTTTACGATATTCGTATTGAGGAGCATGTAATGTGTCCGCATACAAATTTTGACGAAAATCGGAGGGGCTCTCCGAATGACCTTGAAATTCCGTAACTTTGTGACTCCGTAACTTGAAAAATATGGCGGGCCGAGCTTAACTTTTATGATATTTGTAATGAGGAGGATGTAATATGTCCGTATACCAATTTTGACGGAAATCGCAGGGGCTCACCCAAATGACCTTGAAATTCAAACCTCCGTAACTTCGTAAATATGGCGGGCCGAGCTTAAATTTTGTGATATTCGTAATGAGGAGCATCTAGAGTGTCCGTACACAAATTTTGACGGAAATCGCAGGGGCTCTCCCGAATGACCTTGAAATTCAAACATCCGTAACTTCGTAAATATGGCGGGCCGAGCTTAGATTTTGGGTGCATCGTAATCAGGACGTTACGTACTATTCACTGACCAAGTTTGGTCCAAATCGTAGGGGCTCACCTGATTCCGAATCTTAGATTATAGATTAGGATTCACTTACATCTAACTTGACGACCGTGCGCGCCTCAGCCTTCTTCATCGCACACATCGAGCATTTTCATGGCCAAAAGTGTTCAAAATCCTCACAGCCCTTTTCATCACTTGATGACAATCGCTTGTTGCTAGGCAACCAGCCTGCGTGCTTTGTAAACGTGGAAATATTTTTGCTATTGGCAATAAAAATAGAACAGAGGCTAACGCATGCATTTTATAAAACACGGATCATAGAACGGATCATTCTATGATCCGTGTACATTGCTCGGGGTTACATGAGCAGAGTTAATACGCATTACAAACGGACTACAATGGTGAGCGAATAGGAAAATCCGCTCCTGATACGCATTTACTTGCTCATGTAACCCCGGTAACTGAACTCTATAATGTAGAATGCGCATCGGCCGCCAAATGGTGTCCAACGGTGCCGCCATGTTGCGCAGACCAGAAAGCGGCCGCCGCCTGTGCTGGGGAATAGGGAATTCGGGACCTCGATTTACGTTTGCGGTCGCTGCATCCGTTACGCTCAAGCTATGTGGACACGGAACCCGGCATCTTACGCAGAATTGAGTGGAGAACAAGATGAAATCCTAAAAAATCATCAGCTATAAGGAACTAATACGTTAAACCCTTATAAGTCAATGGGGAAATATGAAAATTGTTATTAAAATAATCTGAGAATGATCTGAAACTATCTCAAGCATATAAAATCATGATTTCATGCACTCTTTGCAAGGTTCTATGCTTCATATTTGCATTGTTGCCCTTGCGTGACGTCATTTGTGACGTCACAAGGGTCACCATTTTTCTTCAATAACTCCCGATCAAATTGAGCTAGCGAGTCGGGAAAGCCACCAATGGACTCAGGAAGACCTGCCGAATCGAATGATATGCGACATGACCTGTTTCGACCAACTTCGTGACCTGGGGGTGCTGACCTGACCTTGACCTGAGGTCAACACCCTAAGTTGACCTGACCCGAACAAAAAGTATATCACTCGATGCGCCTGAGCTAGCTGAACACGATGATGCCAAAATCGCGGCTCTACGGCCATTTTTGGCGAAGTTATTTACCAAAAACCGAACCCGTGCCTTAGATCACTTGACCTGACCTCAGAAGTCACCGGTTGACCTGAGACCCTTACAGCTGGTTCCTACCAGTCACTCTGCATTATACTTTGCCGCATACGACCACTTTACCGCTTAATTCTAGTTTAATTAGCGGTGCATTAGCGAGGTGGGTTCAATCAACCCCCTCGGCCGGGGCAAATGTAGGTCAGGCGAGTGAATTTGAGGAATTCTGAAGATACGATCGTGTTCCCCACTCAATTCTGCGTAAGATGCCGGGTTCCGTATCTACGTAACTTGAACGTAACGGATACGGCGGCCGCAAACGTAAATCGAGGTCCCGAATTCCCTATTCCTCAACACAGGCGGCAGCCGGTTTCTGGTCTGCGCAATATGGCCGCCACCGTTAGACACTACGGCCAATAGGGTTGAAGCGGCGCATATTTACGTCTGGACAACGAGTTGCGGGGAAAAGTGCTGATTTTGTCGCAGTTTTAGGAGCCGGTGATTCGGCTGGATTTTTAGGCTACTTTTTCGTTCCGATTCCTGTATTTCATAGTGTTTAGCTTTTAAATATTTTAGTTCTCTCAGAAAAATATTACTTGCCTTATAGATTTGGTTAAATTGTTTCATTTTTATAAGCCGACCGCTAGAGTCATAAAACAATACATCAGCACTACAATTATTGTAAACAAACAAATCAAAATGGAGCACCGCTTGGCTCTGTTCCAAGGCCTGTTTCAAGTTCATCTGGTGTTTTCGTACTCGTGTACGTCGTTTTGTTGGAAGTTTCGGATCCCTTGTGATTGAATTATATCATATTTAAGAAACATGTTGACTGAAAACAATTCCAAGTATCCAGGAGGCTAAGGCTCCAGGGTCCTGACTCCTGAGCCCTGAGCAATATTGATATCAAGTTGAATTTAGGACATGTTGGTTGATAAACGCAAGTTGGTCTGGCTCACTTATCAGCAAGAAAAAGTAAAATTAAAAGAGCTTATTGGACAAAAACAAGTATACTATTGCAGGAGATCATGAAGAGCCCGCTGAGCAATACCAAGCCAGAAAATGCTGGCTGATGAACGCATATTTATGTATTGGTGTGAATATTGAATTATAACTTACAACAGCAAGATTAATTTGTGCTAACTATCAAGTGAAAAAAATCTAGAATGAATGAACTCGGGCAGCTTTACTTTGCAGAATGGTAATGTCGTAATGTGCATTACTCAGTGTCTGGCAAATGAAACACACAATCATTCCATTGCTACTGGAGGAGTCAGCTTGCCGCTTAGATCACTAAATCAGCTTAATGTTAAATGTGATGTTCATAATTACTTTGCATTTTTTTTAAAAAGGATTTTAGAAGAATTGTCAAAGTGACAAATACA